GTTCCCCTTTGTTGGTATAGTTGAACCTCTTTTCTTGTTGACATTAACGTAATACCAACTTTTAACATGCTCTTTAATTTCCTTCTTCTTTTTTTTATATTTATTTTTTTATTGCTTGTCATCATATCACCCTGTGTTGTATCAACATGTTATGTGAATTGACAATTTAGTTATCACCATCTATATGTCTAAATTAACTTGATTGTATGCTTGACCAATCCCTACCTAGAATCTAATGCCGTTTCTGCCTATCACAATATGGCCACAATAATATATTCTGTAGACTAATCCATTCTCCTATTTTTCTGCCGTATGCATACAGGATGCGGGGAGTCGGGGGTGTTTGGCGGGGCAAGTGCCAAGCCCCTGATTAGTTAAGTAGGTGCTTGCCCCCCGCCCGCCTGCCGGTTTCTGCCGCCCGCATCTTCGCTTTAATCATCGTCTGTTCTGCTTTCTTCGTCCCTCTTTCAACTTACAATCCTCGCATTGCTCCGTTATTTGTTTTCTTGATCCATAAACTGGTACATCCCTAGGTACGTTTACGGATACTATTTCATCCCTTACCCTTGTCCTCTGCTGCTCTCATTCTTCAATTCATTATTGCACCTACATAAGTTAACTCACTCGCCATTTCCGCAGTTCGTCTCCTAAACCTTGACGGACCATTTAATTACTCTATCCAGAAATTCTTATCATTCATTCCCGTCAAGTAAAGGATAATAAAATTCTCCAGCAACCATGCCTCGTAAATTCTTTGTTGGCGGCAACTTCAAGATGTATGTGTGTTCTGTTCCTGAATCAAAACACGTCAAATCCGTCTCTACCCGCATCCAAAATCTTCCTATAACCACCGTGATACTGATAAATTACTTCCACTACTCAATTCCATTCCACCCAGGAATGGTACCGCGAAATCTATCACCCATATCATCACCAACCTCAACTCCGCCAAGCTTGATCCCACCACTGAAGTTGTCATCGCCCCGCCTGCAATCTACCTGGTGCTTGCACGACAACTCGCGAACGGCCAAGTCGCCGTTTCTGCACAGAATGTGTTTGATAAGCCTAATGGAGCCTTTACTGGGGAGTTGAGCGTGGAACAGCTCAGAGATGAAAGAATCACTTGGACGTTGGCTGGACATAGCGAACGAAGAGTTTTACTCAGAGAAGATGATGAGGTATGTTGGATTTCTTATAGTGATGCGTTGTGGGTGCAAGAATTTGTTCCCCCTTGAACACTATATTATTATTTTATGCCCGAATCGGTCACGCTTTAGTCAGTCCCGTTATTTTCCAATTCCCCAACTGCCGTATTGAGATTCGTGATATCTTCCTCAACCTTAACTAATATGTCATACCGGAATATTTAGTTTGTGGCCCGGAAAACAAAGGCTGCCATCAACGGTGGCCTCAATGTAATTCTTTGCATTGGCGAGTCTCTTGAGGTAAACTACCCACCATTTCGATATTAAACCCTTTTATGCGAGTTGAAATATCGAAAATGAGGGCAAAACAAAAGATTCTCAGGGGAACGTGCTTCGGTTAAAGCGGGAGCTGACGACACGGTCTCCATATATAGGAACGTGAAGCTGGAAGGACTATCGATGTTGTAACAAGGCAATTGGACGCCGTTGCTGAGGAAGTCTCTCCTGCAGAATGGAATAAGGTCGTCATCGCCTATGAGCCCATCTGGTAATGCTGCTTCTACGTTCCATTGTCTTTCAAAGAACGAAACCACCATCCTAACAACCACTCCACCTTCCCAGGGCCATCGGAACGGGCAAGGTCGCCACAACAGAGCAAGCACAAGAAGTGCATGCCTCCATCCGGAAATGGCTGAATGAGAAAATCTCCCCTGAAGCGGCCGAAAACACCCGCGTTATTTACGGCGGAAGCGTTACGGAGAGCAACTGTCGGGATCTCGCCGCGCAGCCTGATGTTGACGGGTTTTTGGTGGGCGGAGCTAGTTTAAAACCTGCTTGTATGTTTTCACAGAATATTGTCATGATAGGAATATCCTATCCTGCAAACGGACAAATTACTAACTCAAGTCGCAGTTGTCGATATCATCAACGCCCGTTTATAGACGGTTTTGGTAGCTAGTTCTTAGTTACGACATAAAATCCCTTACGGCAGAATGACGTTTTCCTAGTCCCTGAGTTTCTTTTCCGCTAACACTGCCATAAAAGCTGATATTGGGTTATGCGGGTATTGGAAACCTGGAGACCTGACATGGAAATGGCCTGACTTTCTTGTTTTGCAATTGAAAAATATAAAATAATTAATAACACTGTTCGTCAGTGCAGTATTTATATCTTATCCTGGTTCCGTGAATATGCTATATCTACACATGGGCATATCCCAGCTGCAGGGAGAGTTGTACCAGTCGCATGCAAATATAACTATGGGGAAAAGTATAACTAGTTATACATAAAGACCACATTTCCTTCCTGATGTTAAATCCCATATTTCCCCTGGCCAGTAAGCCGAAAAGCGAAGCCCGACGATCTTCATGGCTATCTCTGCAGCGGAATGTTTGAACCACAGGTATAAAAGAAGCTGCGCAAGAGTAGTTAACCATAGCACAAACTATAGGGCTGAGCCGGACAACTTTAAATAACTGGATAGTTAACTAACTAGTTAACTAGTTAAATGATGACTGGCGAATCGTAGAGTTCAGTTAAATATCTACGCTAACTAATTAACTAATCGGAGACTGTCAGAGCCCCAAAACAAACTGAAAAGGGAACGAAGGTCGACTCGCTTAATAAGCAAGTTTAGCGAGGTTGTTCATGGGCTGAATGGGGCCGATGGGCTGATGCAGTAAATGTATCTATCCAATGATCCCCCAGGGCGGGGATATTATTTCGTCGTTGGCACCGTTCTTATCTCGACGTCCGTGCTTCTTGACTCTGCCAATTGGTTATTGTATCTAGATCTGTAATGGATTCAATATTAAGCACCCAATCAATTCTTGACCGTGGAGCGGATATCTGACTAGTTAGTTAGTTAACTAAAGTTATTAGGGTTCTTATATAAGCAAGTACAGATGCTAGTTAGTTATTTGTGCGTGGTGATGGTGATGATGATGATGCGTAGCGTATAGGTTTTATGTCGTACACCCGGTTTGGAACCGTTGTCAGCCGTTCCATCTCGTGGTGGTTTAGCTAAATAATCGAACCTCAATGGGAATTATGGATGGGCTACTAACTAACTACCGTAGTTACATACGGGCACGCAACGCAAAGAAGATGAAAGCTGATACAGGGTGTGGTTTAGTTATTTCCGTGGGAAAGGGAGTTTTTTGACTTCTGATGAGGAGTAACTTATTCTGTGCCTGGATTTGGTCCCACGGCAGATGATTGGGGGATAGTTAGGAGGAAAGCTAAAGAGCTTCATTGGAGGGAAGAGTGGGAGGGCTTGGTGCCTTCGCGTGCGAGAAAAGGGTTTCCACTCATAGCTGTATATTGTTACTCCTTATTAAAAGATAGTTATATTGGATGCTGTTAATAAAACATATGACAGCACGAGAGAGCAGAGTCAAGTCGGAGCTAGTTCGTCATCCGGCTGGTGGCTTTGCCAGACCTGTTTAACATTTATGCATGTTGCCGTAGCATCGAATGCATGACCTCAAGGGAAGGAAGAGAAGAATAGAAGAATAATTGGATATGATATCTTTTAGTCGGGTGGTCCATACAAATTTACAAATGCTTGTGGGCTCAGGTGATGTAAGAGGCCGAAAAGCTCCTCCGGTTGTGGAGAGTTAATAGCTATGGAGGAGTTAACTATAGTTATTCGGAGAGAACAACATGGGATTGTTAGAATGTTGGACGAATAGCAGCTGGTGTGGATGGTTGGACGGAACCAATGAGAAGCTGTATCCAAGGCTGGAGAAGGTTGGGATCTCCTCGTATCAGCCAGTTAAGTTGAGTGAATCGAGAACTGGGCATCCTGGAGGTTGGACTTCGAGGGGGCCACATGATAACTATAGCTATAGAAGAGCAGTCAGCAGGAGACACATGCAGAGATAGATATGATGATAAACAAGGCAAACACATTATCAGTTTATATCAAGCATCCTATGCTCCGCGTAGAATTGAAGGGCTAGGATCCAGTAAACATCGAACATGCCGCAGCATATTTCGCATATTCCACGTAGAATGGAGTAGACAGAGAAGATGTTTTAGTTAACTGACAGTTGGTTAGCTAGTTACTGCATGCAGCTTCCCTCTGCGGCGCAGACGTTCATTGGCGGCTTTCTCCTTCCCAGTCAGCAAATCTTAGTCAACCTCCAGCAATCTGCCATCTGCTTCTGCCATCTGCTTCTGCTTCTGCTTCTGCTTCGGGCCCCCAACGTCAACATCAACATCGAACATCACCCGCTTCCGCAGCCACCAAACACCTATCAGACAACATCTCTTCAACATCTCAATCCTCTCCTACGTCAGCCTTCCTCCTTCATGACATGATTCTGTCCCACTCGCAATCGCACGACTGCCGCTACTATCCCACATAGCAAATCCCCCACCCTCGGTCTCCCCATGCTGCTGCTGCTGCTGCTGGCTCTGCTGCAACTACCCCATCACGCGCCAGTCTAGCCGCTGCTCCCCTTCGACATCCGCCATCCCTCTTAACCAATCAATCCCCCCGATTTCCTGCAGTCAACTTTGACGATTCTCTTCGATCCCCAACCAGCTGCAGCCGCAGCCACAGCTGTCGTCTGGTGTCGTCTCGTCCCATCACAGTTCCGTCATCCGTCCCGCCGCCCAGGACGCAATAATAATACTTCGAAACACGAAACTAAAGAAAAGGCCAGCCATACATACATACATACTTACATACATACATAAATCTATCTGAAGCAGATATTAAAACTAGAAAATAAAGAAAAGTCCACTCTGCGCTCTGCCGATATACTGCTTATCATTCCCATCCAATCAGCGACAAGAGGATACTTGGATTTCTCTCTTTGCGGCGACCGGTCCCATCCCGCAGAAGAGATGGGGAATGCTTGTCTAGCCTGCCTCACAGGTACCTCCTCCAAGATAGATAGATGGTGCCATTTGTCTGATTTGCTGGCTCCCATCTTCAAAGGTCGATCCAGAGACGGTCTCTACGAACCCATCCTCGCCGATAACGAGCGCGAGGCCGTCGCCGATCTTTTACAATACCTCGAGAACGTACGCTTTTCCATTTCCATTTCCATTTTTATTATTTTTATTATTATTTTTATTATCCCCCAACTCCCTTTCCTCTGTGATACCAACTAAACCTGTTGATAAAATCTAGCGGAATGAAACCGACTTCTTTAGCGGAGAGCCACTGAGTGCTCTCAGTACTCTCGTCTACTCCGACAATGTTGACCTCCAACGAAGCGCTAGCTTGACTTTTGCAGAGATCACAGAAAGAGGTTCGTACTTCATACTTCACTATTATTAAGATGGCAGTAAAGACGTTTTCTACTCAGCTGTATGCTGATTTAAGACATTGGTATTGCTGTAGATGTCCGGGAAGTAAACAGAGAAACCCTCGAGCCTATCCTCTTCCTCCTACAGAGCCCCGATATCGAAGTTCAACGTGCTGCCAGTGCAGCGCTGGGGAATCTCGCTGTTAATAGTGCGTCCGTCCATTTAACAAACCCTAGGTGGAAGGTTTACGCAATAACGCTGACCATTCTGTAGCGGAAAACAAAGTTAATATTGTCCTCCTCGGGGGACTAGCACCTCTAATAAGACAAATGATGTCACCTAACGTCGAAGTACAATGCAATGCAGTCGGCTGCATAACCAATCTAGCCACCCACGAGGACAACAAAGCAAAAATTGCCAGATCAGGTGCCCTTGGGCCCTTGACAAGATTGGCAAGATCCAAGGACATGCGTGTGCAACGAAATGCCACTGGAGCTTTGCTAAACATGACACATTCCGGTATGGCACTTCTTGATACAAAATGCGTACAGTTGGCCCATAATCTAATATTCCCATTTCTTTTCTCTTTTTTCTCGATAGACGAAAACCGGCAACAGCTCGTCATCGCCGGTGCGATACCCGTTTTGGTGCAACTCCTCTCGTCACCGGATGTCGACGTCCAGTATTACTGCACAACTGCATTAAGTAATATCGCAGTGGACGCGGAAAATAGAAAAAGGCTCGCCCAAACAGAATCTCGGCTTATTCAATCCCTCGTTCAGCTCATGGACTCCTCCACCCCAAAAGTTCAATGCCAAGCTGCCTTAGCTCTTCGAAATTTGGCCTCCGATGAAAAGTACCAACTCGAGATCGTCCGTGCTCGAGGCCTTGCACCTTTGCTCCGACTACTACAATCATCCTATCTCCCTCTCATCCTCTCCGCAGTTGCATGCATCCGAAATATCTCCATCCATCCCCACAACGAATCCCCAATCATTGACGCGGGATTCCTAAAACCACTCGTTGACCTACTAGGCTCGATAGACAATGAAGAAATCCAGTGCCACGCCATTTCCACCTTGCGGAACCTGGCAGCTAGTTCAGATCGAAATAAGGAGCTCGTTCTTCAAGCAGGCGCCGTGCAGAAGTGCAAAGAGCTTGTCTTAAAAGTTCCGCTGAGCGTACAGTCGGAAATGACCGCTGCAATTGCTGTTCTTGCTCTGAGCGATGAGCTGAAGACCCATCTGCTGAAACTGGGTGTGTTTGATGTTTTGATACCCCTGACAGATTCGGAAAGCATAGAAGTTCAAGGGAATAGTGCAGCTGCTTTAGGGAATTTGTCGTCCAAAGGTATGATATGATTATCCCACCTTCCCTCCCTCTACCCTTTGTAACAAACGGATGGCACTAAATCAACAAACCTATATTTTAGTGGGCGACTACTCAATATTCGTCCGCGACTGGTCCGAACCGAACGGCGGTATCCACGGGTACTTAAGTCGCTTCCTAGCCAGCGGGGATCCGACGTTCCAACATATCGCCATCTGGACGCTGTTGCAGCTTCTTGAGTCTGGAGATCAGCGGTTGCATGGCTATATTACGCGGTCAGAGGATGTAGTGGAGATGGTTAAGACGATTGCGGATAAGAATTTGGAGAGTGGGGATGAAGGGGAGGGGGCCGGAGAAGGTGGTGGTGAGGATGATCAGGGAGAGGTTGTGGCGTTGGCAAGGAGGTCGTTGGAGATTTTGGGTCAGAAGGCTAAGCAGATTCTTCTTGATGGGTGATGTCAGTGGTGGTGACATAAATGGAGGAGCGGTAATGTGCTTGTGGTATTTTTTTATCATTATTTTTGCTTTTGCTTTTCTTTTTTTCATCCCCCGTTGTGTCCTTGTTTCTTAAACCCGCAAGGAGTTCTTTTACCGGGGTGGGTTCATTGTTTATTTTACTTTATTCTGCGCTCGGCTGGCCTTTCCTTTTTTATCTTTTTTTTCCCTACCAAGCTAGTCATCCCTATTTATCTTCTTTTTTGGCCTGGTTTTCTCTTCTCTGCTCTCAGTATTCCTTTTCTATTATATGGTCTCGCGAGGGGGGGTATTTATTTAACCTGTATCCTTGACTGTTGCTTCAGTCTGCCTTTTGGCCTATTCCTATATTTTTTCCATAACACATATTTCCTTTGGTACAGCTTCTCCTTTCCCCTTACTTATACTTTCCCTTTTCCTTTCTTTGTCGATGTCAATGGTAAGTATGGTATTGGATTTGTGAGGGTTGAGGAGAGTTGGTTGAGTTGCATATTGTCCGTGCAGGATGTATTTTTACAGTCCATGCAAGATACATATAGCAAATACATACATACATAATTATTATTATTATTAGAGAAATGGGTATAGGTTATTTAGCTCAGATACCATTGAGGGAGAAGAGAAAAGAGTATATGCAGTGTCGAGCTATCAATATATATAAATGTGCATCTTTCATGAGATGCTGCTTTGGATTATTTGGGTTAGTAGCAGAGCAATGTATTTTTTGCAATTCTCTATTGAGTTTATCTTTGTTTCATCCTTCGTTTCTGTTGCTTGTATACATTAGTAGCTTTGAAGTGAGAATATCCCTTACCTGGTCTGAGCTTCTCATAAGTGACGTCATCCCCCGCATTACTGCAGCCAGGGTTCCCTATAGACGCGCGTCTAATGTGACCTTGGTCTGCGCGCTAGTTTTACATCTTCAACCTTTCCGATCAAAATTCAAGGTAGGACGAATCACATAGTGAAAAATATCCTCCAACTTACAGCTAGCTTTCTGGATTTCTTTTACAGCTTTTATGAAGGGATAAGCTTTTAGGAAGATTCCTCTCCCCATTGTTGTAATTATTCTGTCACAAATAATATCTGTTTTCATCATAATCCCGACAGCTGTTTCTACCTGCCATCCTTTTTGACCGTAGAGGGTATTCCTCCATCAACACATTTAAACACTCATCCACATATATAGATGGCAATTCCACTTCCCTCAATTGCCGTTCCCGGTCAACGGTTAGGCCCCGCCTCATCCTTCATTCCCGGTCCGGGAACACACATCCAAGACTCCTTCGTCTGCGCCTCGATAGCTGGACCTGTCATTCTCAAAAAGATCGAGGAATTATCGAAACAACAACAGCAACAAGCAAACACCAAACAACGGAGGGAACTGGTAACTATCGCACGCTCTTTTGCGCAGACAGTCAATGATGCATGTGCAGATGCGGGGAAGCAGCCGCAACAGCAGGTTGGGATAAATGGAACTCCACATTCACAACGGCAATTAAATGCAGCGACAACGACGACAGCAACAACAACAGCAGCAGCAGCAGCAACTACCACTCTGAAAAGACAAAAATATAAATACAACACCCTCCCTGCGGTAGACTCTATCGTCCTCGCCCGCGTCACCCGCGTCCAGAAACGCCAAGCAACCCTCTCCATCCTCGTCGTCCTCGACGACAACCACCCTCTCAACCCTACTTCCCCATCCTACGACACCACCAACACCGTCAACCCCTCCCTCCTTTCCACCACAAACGCCGACCCCCTCAACGCCGACGACCTCCGCTTCCAAGCCCTAATCCGCAAAGAAGACGTGCGCACCGTCGAAAAGGACAGCGTCGTGATGGACGAGATGTTCCGCGTCGGCGACATTGTGCGGGCCGTGGTGATTTCGTTGGGCGATCAGAGCTTTTATTACTGTTCGACGGCGCGAAATGAGTTGGGAGTTGTTATGGGGAGGAGTGAGGCGGGGAATGTGCTTGTGCCGGTTAGTTGGAGAGAGATGGTTGATGGAAAGACAGGGAGGAGGGAGTGGAGGAAGGTTGCTAGGCCGTTTTGAAGGGGAGGAGAGGGGGCCCAGGGTTGGTTGAGGCCTTTTGCTTCTCTCTTTCTGAGAGATTCTTTTGTTCCGTGTTCAACATCTATAATGCAAGGGAAGAAGAGAAAGGTCGGGACGGATTGATGGATGTCTTCAATATATTTGCTTCTCTTGTGAAGTGGTGCTCTCACACATTCATAGCTGTTGAGTATTAGATGATCCTCCTTATGGCCTTCGCCAGAGCATATTGGGCCAGAGTCGCTGTGGAGAACTATAGGCCCCTTACTTCATGTAATTTGACAGATTTGGATCCATCCAAATATGTGTCTTGAGCATGATGAACGGTGAAACCGCTCAGAGATTATAGTATATTATTCAGTCAATTGATATGATGAAATTATGATATCTATATATATTTACAACTTGAATCTGGATTTTCATCTTCTTCGAGAATGAAGGTATGTGAAAGAGGTTGATTATTATGGATAGGTATATGATATTGGTGTGATCAATGGGAACAGGAGGCAAGATACTAAAAAAAATAAAGTATGTTACAGATTTCAAGTTAGTATACTTGTTTCAAAAAGGTCATTTGTTGAGGATGGTGAATTCAATATTTACTGATTTGAGAGAAAAGAGTTTATATCTCCCTTCCTGGAAGCCATGTACTTCTGAGAAAGGTAGTACCGGAACTCTCTCATTGTGCAAAACGAAAATGGTAATTGGAGATCTCAAAACAGGGCGCGGTAATTCAAAAAGAAATAAAATCCGAGGTGAAAGAAGTGCCAATGTCAAAGTCTAAAAGACTTTTGTTATTTATATATTTATATTCTTTTTGTTTAATCCATTACCGTAAGCCACACCTAACAATAAGATCAAAGAAATATTCCAAACAGGACGAGACAAATCAATCCCATAATCATTATATCCCACTCAAATACCCCGAACCCTCTTCAACCCCCTCACTCATATCACACCCAGGCAGCCCTTACCCCTTCACCGCTTCAACGTCTTCTGCTTCTCTGCATCCTTCACCAACTTCTTCCCCTTAACAACTAACCCCTTCCTGCTCCTGACCCGATCCATGTACCTCTTTGCCACATTCTCGCGGTCCGCCAGCTCCCCCAGATCCTCCAATTCCTCCTCCGTCGCAGGAACCCAGAATGGGTCCTCGTCCAGCATCTCAAAGCCAGCAAAGATTAGCTGTGGCGAGGCGGCCCCCGAGGTACGTTTCCGGATCTCGTCGGAGAAGCCGAAAGATTCGGCCACTGGTAAGAGGGAGAGAATTGTGAAGAAGGGCGTGCCTTCTTTCATGGCTTCAGAGAGGATGCGGCCTCTTCGTCGTGTTATTACGCCGTAGACGCGGCCGAGGACTTCGGCTGGTTTGTGGGTTTTGTGGGTTAGTTTTTGTATGTGCGGGTGATTTTTGAGGATTTGGGGGAATGGGGGTACTTGGGTATTTGGGTATAATTGTGTAGGGAACTAGGGTAGTGTTTCCAACTTACTAGACGCTTGAATCTCGCAACTGTACATCGCCAGGAGTATGCGCGGGCTCCAGTCAAGGAACCCTTGCCATACGGCATCTCGTACGGATCTGATGACTTCACCAGTAAGACGGCCAAGCTCCTCCTCACCTTTTTCCGTAACAGAGACATCTTCTATGAAAACAGCAATGCCCTGGATAGGTTCGTTGCACAGGGGGCCCTGCGAAGTGGCGAGTTGGAATGCGTAAGAGATCTTATCAGAGAAGAGGTTCATGCTGCGTCGCTGGTGTTCTGCTGATGCCTGTGAGGCAGGCTGAGGCCCTTGACTTGATGTGCTTTGCGATGCGTCTTGTATTAATCTTAATTGAGCATCAGCCAGTGTATATAGAAGAGAAGGAAGACTTTAATTTAGCGTAACTTACAGCTTATCACACAAGCTTGTTAACGTTGAGTCGACAAGAATGTTAGGGCCTGTTCTTCTCGGGCCGAACTCGACGATTCTATCCACAATATCCTTCCAGGTGTCTTTCTCTTCTTTGGATTCATTGAACTTGTTTTGCAGCTCTTTCTTAAACTCCTCAAGGGAAAGTATCTTCCTAACAGCGGTCTCGCCATTACTTACATCAATATGATCATCTATTTCACCGCTGGTGTTTGTTTCTGTGATGTCCTTGTTGGCTCCTGTCCTCCTTTCCGCATAGAATTTCTTAATTGTAGCTGCAGTTTTGGTTAAAAATTCAGTTACTTCCGCGGGTAGAGGTCGTATCCTTAGTTGTATAGTTATTTGTTTTGACGCTGAGATACTTTGTATGGTTCCACGAGGAAGGTCGGCGTTCTTCGGAGGCGCCATCTCCGGCGCACTTATTATGGTCTCACGATAAGGGACAATGGGCTCTCCAGCCTGAATTTCGCATTTGGCAAACCGCTCTCGTAGATCTTTCAGACATCGTTCAAGATGTAATTCCCCAGCTGTGACAATGACGTGCTCCCCGCTGGGGAGAATTTCGTACTGTGCACAGGGGTCACTCCTTTCCAACAGCTTTAGACCAGAGATCATCTTATTTAAGTCTGAAGGGTTCACAGGCTCGAGCGCGACGCGAACAATGGGAGGAGTCGACAACGTAACTCCCGCCAAATTCACTGCCCCCTCCAGTTGACTGCACAGTGTCCCTGTCTTTAGAACGTGGCCTTCCATACCAGCAATACCAAAAACAACGCCCGCTGGAACACTTTGCAAGGTTTCCAGGTTTCGCCCCATAAGCAAATAAAGAGCTTTTACTTCCACTTTGTGCGGTGTAGGCGGCCCGTGGGGATGTGATGGTGAAAATTTTGGGGGGATAACATATATCGAGTCCCCAACAGAGAGTGTGCCGGAATATATTCGTGCAAAGCCGATGAGGTGCTCAGGATTCTCCCTTTCTTCCACCCGGGCCTGATCAGTCTCTTCTATGCTTGCGCTTACGAAGGCGGTCGTTACTTGGGCAAAACTATCAGTTTGTGACTCTCCATTACTTTGTGCCTGTAACTTCGCAATCTCCTCTCGTTTCCTCCTGGCCATATCCCGTGCTTCTTCCGCGCTTAGCATACCTCCCGGTAGCCGCGTATTTTGAGGGAGTTCACTCTCGCGGACAGAAACCATTTTGCTCACGTATGCCACAATTGGATCATCTTTCCCTTTTTTAAAGTTGACCATTGCTTCAATCACTCTTGGACTAATGGCATCAGAACCCGGCAAGTCTTTGATCATGTCTGGGAGCCTTGACGCTTGCGAAACTGGAGGACTAGGGAGATATTCGATCACGGAGACTAAGACGGCTGTTGAAAGCGGAAGCCAGGATGAAAATATGGCTGAAAGGGTATTTCTTGGATCTCGTGAACGCAATACATGGGCTGGAATTGTAATCCCTAGAGATTTAGTGATTTTCTCCAACAAGGCCAGATCACTGGCCAAATTTGTTAGCTGATGCAAGAAAAGTAGAGGAACAGAATATCTTACCCCTTTCCATAGCCATCCCCAGTGGCTGCATTGTACACTGCCCATATCGTCTCCAGAACAAGTTGAACAAACATCGGTTTCAAATTACGTCCTTTTAGATGCTTTTGGCCAAGGACTCGTTTGGTTTTCGGATCGAGATAGAAGTCGCCCCATAGGACCTTTTCCAAAAGAGACCTTCTAAAGCCTAGTTTTTTCTCATATAGGCGTGCAAATTGACGAATAGTAAAAGCCCACCCATCAGTTGCGCTACAGAATATGACATTGTTTTTCTCCGGTGAAAAGTAGAGATCCTCGTCATCGCGCTCTTCAAATTCACCTTCCGCTGGATCGGTCTGAGAGGTGGTATCTGATATGTTATCCGTAAGCCGTATCGTACGGTCTTTCTCTTTGGCGGTCGCAGCGTTGACACGCTCCTCCATTCTCTCCCGCCAAAGCAAGTCTTCTTCCATGCGTTCACCTTGATAGAAGCTTCCGATGACAGCATTAACCTGTTCAAGCAGCCTGCTGAGATGCGAATACGCTTCTGTGGGAGTCATTTTCAGTTCTGTTATCAGTCGATCGAGCTTATTGATGACTAAAATTGGCTTGAGATGCTCAACCCATGTATGCCGCAACACAGTAACGGTTTGACTACAAACGCCTTCGACCACGTCTACTAGAACAAGAGCACCATCACATAGTCTAGAGGCTGTGGACACCTCGCTGCTGAAATCAATATGGCCTGGAGAGTCAATTAGATTGATCAGGTATTCTCTCTGCTCCGGATCGTCGTTTTTGGATGCCCTTCTAAGCATGGAGAAATAGAGAGATATGGCAGAAGACTCCATCGTGATTCCTCGAAGCTGCTCATCCGCGCGAGAGTCCAGATAGCGGATTTTCCCGGCCATCTTCGGTGAGATGATGCCATTTGTGGCAATCAAGCTGTCTGTAAGGGACGTCTTTCCGTGATCCTAAAGCGGAATATATCTCAACAGCTGACCCTTCAAAAACCAGGGTATTCAGTCCACTTACGACATGAGCAAGGATACATATCTGTTAGAAACGTTAGCCCATATCCATATGTAGCTTGTGCGGTATAGGTTGATCGAAGGAGAGGTGTTTGATAGTGGGGTAGGGTAGGCATGCATTTCTAATATCTTCCGCCTTCTGCTGAAGACGGACAAGATCTTCAACATTAACTACAGGCATTTGGACATATAATTATCCCAAACAAAATAGAGAATATTTGTGAGAAGCAACCAAAATGATTTGGTGGCACTGCAAGAAAAGATGGGCAGTACCTAGTGCCTAGCTGCTCTCCAATCAGGCTTATAGGCTTTGCGTGCGAGTCCCAGGGACCGATGTTCGCACAATCTAAAATCTTAAGATAATAACTCCAAAACAACGTAAAATACGTGAAGTTGTTTGGGTTGAATATTTTCCCATCCATGTACATATATAAATTTCTCATTGCGATTCTTCGCTGTTGGTTTATTGGATCCATTTCAAGGGGGATTAGTCATTGCCCACTTAAGAGCGCCACCTGGACGCGGGCAGCACACTGCCCACCATAGTAATATCATACTGCGACGGAAACGTAAAATTATGATGCAGTGGAATTGTGCATAACATATTGCTTTCTATATTCTACGTGGCGGAAATACATAAATAAATCCGGAGATTATTGGTATTGCTAGTGTCTTAGAACAAATGCAATCTGTTGATTATAGGACAGCTCAGTCTCCATCATTAAATGAGAGCTTAATCTTCTTCTTCTGCTTCGGTTTCCGTAACGCTTGGGGTTTCTTTGCATCCTCGCCAGTAGCCTCCTGTCCAATTACTTTTCCTTGCTTTCGTTTCTTTGTTCCACCAATCTCCACAACCTGTTGCTTCTGCTTGGTCATGGAGCCTTGCGGTTCTACTGGCGCCTCGCCATTTGTTTCAACTTGTGGTGACTTGGCTTGATCACTCGCATCCTCTCTGTTGTTTCTTGAGTTCTCCACGATTTTGTTGTCATCATTCCTCCTCACCAGTGCTTCGTATTCCTCTTTAGATATTACCTCGTTGCTGTCCTCGTCGACGTATGTGGGGGCGTCATCATCATCAGCATCCCTCTTTTTGGTAGGGAACGGCTTTGGTCTATTATTGCGAACACAACTTCCATTGTCATATTCGCTCCGTAGTTTCCGAAGAAATGCAGGCTCCCTCTTGTCTGTATACAGATGTTAGACTACATAGAATAGCTTGACAGAAATAGTCTGCCAGTTGAGCGTATCAAAACATACCGTAGGTAAGGTGTTTTGCATTGAAACTCATGGCAAGCAGATGGATATGAGGACAGAGAGGTTCTCAAGGGTTTGTGTATCACATTTAGAGGGAGCGGAGAGTATTTGAGAGACTTATCATTGCTTCCGATGCGATCTCATGCTGGAGACTCGGACGGCCGTATCTGTTGACGATGTTCAGGCCATCTAGGTCTCAGCGTACAACCAAATTGTATATAAAACCTCATATACAAACTTGTCAAATAAATGACCACGTACTCTGCTGAATGGGACTTTGAACCGTCAAGGTACTTTAATGGTTGGTCGTTTTTTCTCATGAGTCAATGGTTAAAGATTTGGCGAGATCTTACCTTTGATCAAAACTTCGGAGCGGAACCACTTAACTCCGCACTCCAAAATCCGTTCATTGAAATCAACACCGCAAAAAACTGACAGCTCTGGCGGACTTCTCAAGCCGATTACCCACCGAACAAGATCAGTAACCATGCTGTGCGCAAGTGAGTCTTCTCGACAACATTTGATTATGTTGGAAAGCTACTAATATGTCCATATAGTTTCTGGTGAGGCTCCTCAGGTCCCTGTAGTTTCGCGAAAGAGTGGTTTGTAGCTCCCCCTTCACTCACTTCGAACTCCCAAAGATACAGCTGTCATGTTAACATTGACCCAGGAAATGTTTTTGAGAAGCGCCTTATCGAGGCCTATGTTTCAGAAAATGGCAAAGATCCAGTAACTGGCGAAGATCTTACGGTCGAAGACCTCGTAGAGCTCAAATCGGCCCGAGTTGTTCGACCGCGTCCTCCCACCCTTACATCAATTCCGTCCCTCCTAGGAGTTTTCCAGGAAGAATGGGACGCCCTTGCGCTTGAAACATACACTTTGCAACAGACCCTAGCTCAGACCCGACAAGAACTTAGTACCGCATTGTACCAACATGACGCTGCTGTTCGAGTCATTGCAAGACTCACAAAGGAACGAGATGAGGCTCGCGACGCATTGTCTAAGGTTTCGGTGGGCGCAGGTCGTGCTCCCAGCAATGGCGATGCTATGCAAGTAGATAGCACTGGGCTACTGCCTGCTGTCATTGCTAGGATAGATGCTACACAAGAAAAGTATGCTCCTATCCCCGATAACAGAGTATGTGCCTACGATTGATTTTAATGTTACACAGGTTATCGAAAACACGTCGCAAACGAACTGTTCCGGAGGAATGGGCAACGGTGGAAATCATACAAGAGCTCAAACCCACAGAGACATCCGAAGTGCTTTATCCTGGTGGAAAGTTCTTGTCCCTCGATTCCTCTGGTGAGCTGGCGTTGGTGGGAGGTGTCGATGGAGTAGCAGGGATATATTCCCTGTCTGAGAAGCGGATAGTGTCGTCGTTGAAAGTTGGGGGTGCCGTCACAGATGCTATATGGATAGGAGACAAGGCAGCCGTCGCAACATCCACTGGCACTGTGAAATTATTTGAAAATGGAACAGAGATTGCCAGTTTCAATTCTCATGCAGGAGAAGCCCTTTCGTTGGCAGCCCACGCGACAGGTGACATCCTCGCGTCTGTAGGTGTGGATAAAAGTTATGTCCTCTACGATCTTACGACAAATGCAGTAATCACTCAGATCTACTGTGATTCTGGTACGTAATCCGGGAATAATGTTGCCAACTGGTTACTAATTGTATCTTAAGCTTTATCCTGTGTCAAATTCCACCCTGACGGCCACATTCTCGCTGCTGGCGGTGCCGACGGGCAAATTAAGATCTTCGACGTTAGAACAGGAGCAAGTGCGGCCAATTTCAGTTCTACCGGTGCGCTTAAAGCTCTATTCTTTTCAGAGAATGGCACATGGCTGGCATCTGTAACTGAGAACTCGTCTACCGTCTCAATTTGGGATTTGCGCAAGTCAGCTGAGGTGAAGGTTCTGGAAACGGGAAATCGAGTGGATTCCATCAGCTGGGACTACACCGGGCAATTTTTATTGACAGGCGGACCAAATGGAGTGACCGTACGGCACTATTCCAAGACGTCCAAGCAATGGTCAGAGCCTCTGAGGAGTGCAGTCCCGGCAGTTGCGGTGGAATGGAGGAAATCAGCCCAGGGCATAGTCGTGCTGAATACCGAGGGCGCTCTTACGGTGTTGGAGTCAAAACCATGATGATTATAACAGTTTCTGTTGTCAGGTCAATTGTATTCTAATATATTTTGCATGCTATGTTTTGTTTTCGTTTGAAATTGCTGGCGCCAATGATTAGTTAATACGATACAGGTGAATTGTTTTCTCTTCTCAACCTCAATAGTTATAACTTCCAAGGGAGAATTCCTCCTTAACAACCTTGGCATAGCTCTCAATAGATACGACCCTTACAGTGCCCAAAGTTGCTCAGTTGGTTCCTTTGCGTTGCTAGAATTTCTCTTCTTCTCTGTAGCCACTCTGCTGAAGCCGTGATTGCCACTGATTGTTGGGGGCTACAAATGAGGGCTCAACCAGGATTTTGGAGGAGTGCAGAACCATTAAGTGGACTCGAACCACCACCAAACCACTCTCATCCGAACGTTGGACAACTCCTCTTTCAACCCCTCAATCTGACAACCACCTCACCTCCAACCACGGCGCCCTTTTCCTTCTCTTTTTCCACTTAGCTATCTATCATGAATGGAGACCTGAATATTCATGTTTTGGCTGCCCGGCAGTCTAGAAAAGTAAGCGTGGACGCCCTTCGTCACTTCCGCCACCTTTCAACCGCAACCGCCCACCACCACCAACCACAACCACATCCAAGCATCTATTTCGCTCTCAAACTAACAGCTGGTTAATTTTTGACATCCATTCCAGCGACCTCACCATGAGATGCTAGGCTCCCATCCTCCCAGCCAAAGTAGTTCCCCATGGGATCATGCAGAGCCTTCTACTTCTAACAACAACTACCGGCTTCCTCTCCCAGCCCAACATCCAGCGATCCCACCCATCCCGTACATGCGATTTCCAGGAAACGGCTACGACTTCAGGAGACCAATAATGGCGACGACATCAGCCCCTACATTTTCTCCTCCACCTCTTCCTCATCAGCAAAACATCATCGATTTGACCGATGAGCCCGATAACCCTCTGTCAGACCAGCCTCCCAGAACCCCCCCAAGACAACGACCAGGACGCATTGCACGTCCACCTCGATTTGGAAGAAATATAATGGCAGATGTTGTTGATTTGGAGGCAGGTTCATCTAGTACAAACGAGCCACAACAGTTTTCAAGCCCAGAAGTACAATTTCTAGGTACTACAGTCCGCCCTCCACTAACCCGGTCAAATGACATTGCCCCTCTAAATCGAGAAGGCCCCCCACCCTTGAGAGGTTCAAGCCTTATGGACATGATTAGGAGGATTCGAGGAAATGGGCCTCCGTCATATTTTCGCAGGCAGGATGCTCTTCGAGAAGAGATCGGGCTTAGAACCCGCAACCTGGCCAGAGCATATCCTACCAACATAGCACCGTTTTGGGTCGGAGAACGGCCCCAGGTTGACATAGATGAAGATTTTCCTGTCGAGTTAGATTACACAGCGGCAGGAATTACGCCTGGAGAGACACAACAGTCACCTGCTTATACGGCACCTGAAGCACCTCCACCAGGGTTTACAAGGACTGTTGGGGAGTCTGAGGTTGTCGTTTGTCCAAATTGCGATCATGAACTAGGCACTGGCGGTGATCTACAGCGGCAGATATGGGTGGCTAAACCATGTGGACACGTATGTTCTCTTACGTGATCCCCTAGAGTCAAAAAAATTAAATTAAAATTAAAAAAAAAATCAAAAATCAAAAATCAAAATCGATTTATAAACTAACTGTCCTCTTCAGGTCTACTGCGGCCAATGTACGAGAAACCGAGCGATGTCAAGAAAACGGTCAGACAACACCAGCCCGTCAAAAACGAAACCATTTTCAAAATGCGTCGTTCCAGACTGTGGCAAGCCGATAAGCCAACCACGCGCGATGTTTCAAATCTATCTCTAATGTTGCCGATTTTTCCTTTTTATTTTTTTTTCTCTTTTTTTTTTTAATTCCTCCTTTTTTCTTTTTCTTTTCTTTTTCTTTCTTTCTTTTTTCTTTTCTTTTCTTTTTCTTTTGCAGTATTTGTTTCTTCTTCCTATTCACTGTTTACAAGCATAGCGACGGTTTATATGGAATTGCATAATTGATCTGTACACATTTTCTATTTTTTATTATATGAAAGTGATGCACATGAGTATTTAGAGTGAGTGTTTAATGGTAGTGGCAACAGCGATAACCTTGTTTAATTATGAAATCTTGTGGATTGGTTTTTGTATAAAGATTTTTGATTTATAGAAGTCCCAACAGACCAATCCAAGTTTTATGGTGTGTATAGAGTATTGCACAGCAGGACTAATAACTGATAATATACCATAGGAATGTTCTAACAAAGGGCAACATTAAGTCTTTAATATATTCATTCAGAACACAAGGCATTAAAGAGTCTATGCAAATCCGCCGATCCAACCCATAACAAAGCAAATATATACTCCTAATAAGCAATGAGACCAATATCGATAGACTTAAAAACAATAGCCATCACAACCCTTTAAAAAAGAGGGACTTGTTCTGGCAAACAGCCAAGCCCCGTCACACACCCTATCCATCCCATTCCCATCTCATATCGTCTTCACATCGCCATGATAAGGACTCCAAACACCTCTCACACTCTCATTCAAACTACACACGGGCTTCCTGACTCTCTTCAGCTTCTCCCCGTTCGCCTCCTTGAGCAATGTTGCCTTGGCAAGTATCTGCTCCTTCTCCAGATTACGAACGCAGATGGCCTTTTCACGTCCATTGATGTAGTAGCCCTTGATTACGGGGTGTTTTTTCGGTCGTGGGGAGACGCGGATTTCTATTTGGGGGTTCGCGGCAGCGAAGGAGGGAAGAGTGTATTTAAGGAATGCGCTGGGGTTGAGAATGTTAGAAATGAGTTCTTGATTGCAGGAAGGTATACAGCATAGGTGACGGGTCATTGCAGGTATTCCGTAGAGGGCTAGGGGGGTAGGTAGCTCACTTCATTCCTCTTGAGCTACCAGCCCAGTCGCAATAATGGAAATCGAGCCGTTTACACTGGAGGATAAACGCGCCAACGCCATTCTGTAGAGGGCAATTTGCGTCAGTTTCTGTGGGTTTTTGTTGCTGGATAAAAAGGAAATACATACTCGGCTGGTGGCCACAGTTGGAATTCCCTGGATAGGCATTGGTGTTGATTAATGTTTCGGTGTTCCACCATCCAACATCCCAAGCACCGCAATTCATTTAAGCTGCGGAGATTCTGAAGAATGCTCAACTTTTGATATGAAGTGCAAAACTGGACGCTGATTGGCTAGATGACGAAAACCGCTTAATCAGCCAAAACCAATACGCTAGTACTAAAGCGGTAGTGAGAGAAGTTGCCTTTTTATTGACGCTGGGCACTATATGGAGTTAACATCATTCATTGACTTAACCTCTCTTTGCTTGTATATGTGTATTGAGGACTGTCAAGCCTCTGCGGTTAAGCGTGGAAACACATCATTTTCTGCATCTCGGCCTGTTCTCGCGTTGTCGTCCTCTGCCTTGCTGCAAAGGGGGGGAAACATCAGAGATACAGCGAGAGCGTCAAGAATAGCTACATATGAGCCATGACAGACAAGCTTCCGCCAAACCTCCTCGCGCTCTTCGCGCCTCGTCCTCCCTTACGCTATATTCCCCCAACAGATCGCGCTCCCGAGGACAAAGAACCAAGTAACATCACTGGAGTTGCGCAGTTTGTTGACGAGCTGAAGAAGTATGGCGAGGAGGTGCCTTACAATGCTACTGAAAGCTGGCTTCAACGCAAGGCGAGGCTGAAGGAGGAAAGGAAAGCTAAGCTCGAAAAGCTTCTCACTGAGGGTATCAAGGAATGTATGTTGTCCCAAATCTCTAAACTGGAATGTGCTTGAAATCATTCTATCCGTTCAACTTTTCTTGCTGACACGCTTTATTATCGCATCCGATAGATAACCCCAACAATGACCCTCAAGTTCGGGGGGATGCTTTTAAGACGCTTTTCGTATCGCGATTGAGCTACGACGTGGTTGAAGCTGATTTGGAGCGCGAATTTGGTCGTTTCGGCCCCATCGAGCGGGTATGTGTTTCATTAGTTGCAACATGTCATTTGCAGAAGTGACATAAACTAACTCATCCGTACCTACACCTGAAGATTCGCATTGTCGTAGATACTCATAATCCAAAGAAAAATCCCAAGAAATCCCACAGAGGTTATGCGTTTATCGTCTACGAACGCGAGAAGGACATGAAGGGTACAGAATCCCGAACACCTGCAAACATCTCCTCCCCCTCCTTCCCCCTCCCCCCTTTCCTTTCTTTATATTAATTCCTAGTGGTTTCTTTCTTCAACCTCCACTATAATAACGAGGCAAGGTAATGAAACCCATAACTAATGCTATCGAAATTCACTTGGAGTCTTCAGCGGCCTACAAAGAGACAGATGGTATCCGTATTAAAGACCGCCGCGTTTTAGTCGATGTTGAACGCGGGCGTACTGTGAAAGGTTGGAAGCCACGCCGGTTTGGTGGCGGGCTGGGTGGACGAGGCTATACGAAATCCATGCCGGCTCGTCCTATGGGTCCTGGCGCTTTCGCACCTTCTGGTCCAGGTGGATTCCGTGGCGGCGGAGGTGGCTTCAGTGGGAGAGGTGGCTTCGGGCGTGGGGGATTCCGTGGTGGTGACCGTGGATATGGTGGACGAGGAGGTATTGGATTTCAAGGTGGACGCGGTGGATTCGGTCCACCAAACGGTGCGGGAGGTCAACCACCACCAAATGCACCTTCTGGACCAAGCGGGGGGCGGGCTGGCGGTGGAGCAAATGGGTATGATAATAGTGGTGGGTATGGTGATGGTAGACGAGGCGGCGGCTTTGATGATAGAGCAGGACATCGTTCAAGTGGCAGACATGATCGGGAGCCTCGGGGTGTAACGGGAAGCAATCGTGAGCCGGTAAGACCTCGTGATGGATATGGTGACCGTGATCGGGACAGGGACAGGGATCGGGACCGGGACCGGGGAGATCGTGGAAGGGATCGCGGCGATAGAGACCGGGATTACCGGGGAGACAGAGACCGTGACCGTGATCGGGACAGGGATAGGTATGGGCGACGGGATGATGAGTCTTCCCGGAAACGATACCACGAGGGTGACGACTACGATGACCCCCGCAGCAAAAGAAGATACTGAATTGCCCTATATTCTCATTTTCACAACAAACGGTTTGTTGGTGGGTATCTTCTGTTCTCCGATTTCTCTTTCACTCCCGTTTTTCGTCCAGGGTAAGGTCCGAGGTACTCATGAACAAATCGTTATTCGTGGCCTTGATATTATTGTTTGAGCTCTGCTCCTGTTCGTGTTCGAGATAAGACACCCCATCTAGCGATCCGTACGCCCCACGCGATTTAATTCTTCTTTTCGCCAAATAGTCGATTATGGCGTAGGCTTCTTACCTACATCGTGTCACCCCCTCTATGCAAGATTGTCAGCTCAACTGGATGGCTTTGTATCACTTCTTTTGTTCGTTGTCCCTAGCTCCTCGTCGGAGACATGATGAATCCTCACTAGTCATCTTTCTTTGTTACGCCCCTGACTTTAACAGTGGGTAAGTATGTATTTTAGGGCTTAATGGAAATGGAAATTGAGAGGACTCAAAACAGAAATAAAGAGTTCTAATTGATGTTTGAGGTAAGATCAGGTAAGGCTATTTGGCTAGTCCAAATATTCTTTGCATTGATCTTCGCATGTTGTGCGATAGCCCTATCTTTTGCATGATTTCTTTCCTTTCTCTTTTTGCTTTTCTTTGCGTTAATTTTGTTGTGATCTCTACTTTCCCCTTCTTGTTGTCTGTATTCACATTCCAATTTTCATGATAGGTACCTTGAGTCCAAGTAGAGAGAGGAACGATCATCATGGTTCAGCTATATAGGAAAATTTTACTTTCCTAGAATTGCACTTCATTAGGCCCGAATGGGGCACCCAGAGTTAGTAGTCTCATAAATCACGGAAAATATGCAACATAAAAAAGAAAATGAGACAAAACGCCTTACTCCGACTCCATAAACATACCAGTCATGGAATCCCTCATTTCCTTCCCTTAGGACACATCGTCTCGACAATAATGATCTTCCCCCACCAACGAGTCAACCCTCCATATCCTGATCCTTCTTCTCCAAAATAACAACAGACCCATCCTTCCGATTCCACTGCGCCTTCATCTCAACCCTAAACTCCGCAACCGCAACCCCAAACATCTTCAACAGCGTCGTCTGCCTCGAATCCAACGTCTCTCCAGCCTTGCAAACTTGATACCCCTCCCCTTCCACCTCCAACACAACCTTCCCCTTAACCAGCCTCGTCGGCATCCCCAACTTCCTCAACATCGGCTCAATCGTGTGGCTAATTGGCTGGTCCTGGTCTGCTGGTACCTCACCACCTTGAGAGTATACGATGCCGCTTGGGATAGTGAAAGAGCGGGTTGTGACGGTGCCCGCGCGCGCGAAGTCAGTGGGATGGAAAGAGTTGAAGTATTGTAGGACGGATTGCGGGGAGCGGGAGGTGAAGAGGAGGCCGACGTTGCCGGTTAGGAATGGGGTTAGTTGGTTGAGGTTTGGGGCGCAGGCGGTTTCGGGGGTGTTGCCTAGGGCGACGGCCATCACTTTTGTTTTGCCAAAGAATAGGCTTGGAGGTTTCTTTGTTAGTTTGGGGGGGGTTTGTTATATCTATGGAGACACATATACACGAGTGAGGTATGTAGTTTGGAGAGCCCTGCTCAGCGGGCGGGACTTATACACACCGGGAATCAGCGAATTCAGTGCGAACGTCCTTTAGATATGTATTTCGCATATTATCCACTGAAAATAGGAATATGTGGTCATATTGAGTTACAGCTGTTTGGATATTGGCGAAGAGCCGCCGAGTCTGCTCCTTGTGGGATTTTTTGGCGGTTTTGGACTCGTGGACCAAACGCGCCCGTTTGGAGATAGGCATGTTGGATATGGAAATGTGGGAAGCGACCTTGCTTAGATCATAGGGAGAAGACCAAAGAGGCGTTTTATTAGCGGAGTGAATTAAATACACATGTTATCTCCCTCTCCGTCTCTCTCGAGTCTCCTTCAACATATTTGAGGATTTTGTTATTTTTTCGATATTGAAAATTAAACTTCACGGGGATGGAAAAATGTTGATACGGGCAACATACGTTTAGTTATGTAACTAGTACTAAACAGGAAATAAGCTATGATCAGAAACGCCTAATCGCAAACGTCAAATTGATCGTTGTGTATACTCAGAGCTCCTTTAGATGTACATGATACGAGAGCAATAGTATCTATCAATGCCCCAGTGTATGAATGGTCTCAGGCGATGCTGTTGAATAACCTATGGGGAGTTCCAGTAACGCTCTGCCACTATGTGTGACTTCATGGACTATATCCAACTCGCTTTCTACGATGCATCGAAGTGGAACCGCGACAATTCCTACTCACGGCTGACGACGACAGCAAATGGTATGTTGTTGCAAACACCATGGACAAAACTTGCATTGTACAATAGCTATTAACTTACATTAAATCCATAGACCTCCTCGATTTCTCAACGCCGGAGCGGCTAAAAGTTAACCTGTCATCATTGTCAACTCCTCATTTTGCGACAACGTACACACTTGGTACGGTGGGGTTGATAGATGGATCTATATCATATTTATTTACAACGATACCTCTTCACAATACCCCAAGTCGAAGTTCTTTGATTCCTCTTCGAAATCTTGTTCCTGGGTACCGACAAATTTACCCCCCTTCAATACCCATTGAATACCCTACAGCGAATGACCATAGTAGCGTACCTGCCGCAGTTTGCAGCAAAGAGGATAATCCGAAAACCAAACCAACTTTATTACATGCGACGCTCCATCTGCCGCCTCCAACCACATTGACAGGCCTATTTATCCGCCGTTTATCATCCACTACTCAGCTTTCCCTTGCGGTTTGCTCCAGTCGAGCCCCAGCATCCAAGTCTGCACCTCAGGCAACCCTACTAACTCAGATATTTCACGATACGGGCAAATATAGTTCAGAGTTCCTGTTCAGCACGGACAATGCTTTGCTGGGGTTCAAGGGGTTATGGAACTTCGGACCGGATCCGAGAAAAACGAGACGTGGAGATCCCGCATCTCAACGCAGTCGACCTTTACTCTCATTGCTTTCCGCTGGCGGGGAGGTATACTATTCCCCTGTGTCCTCCGTTGTTGGCCTTTCCACCGGTCTACGATTCGCCACATTACCGGCTGCAACCGAAAACGCTCATTCCGCCTTCCCTTACACTTTAACCCTCACTCTCACGCCCCTCACAGGTTCCATGTCAACCACATATTCACTCCTTGCCTCCCCCAATCTCGCCTTCAGCTCCCGTTTTGGCTTCAACGTCTACAGCTGGGAGAGCGAGATGGTAGCAGGATGTGAACTATGGCGACGTAGCGAATCAAGGTCCCAAAAAATTTATCCGTCTGCAGTGGACAATTTGGCCTGGGCACGATTGAAAATGGGCGTTCCTGCTACTGCAGTCTCTGTAAATCCTGAGAATGAGCTCTCTCATATCCAAATGGAAGGCCATAATAGTTCCCATGCGTCTGATTCCGTGATTAAAGTCCGCATTGATCAGTCCTGGAATATCCGTGCTTTATGGGAAGGTCGGGTTAAAGAGCTCCTTATCAGCGCCGGCGTTGCTCTTGGACCGGCATCGCGCTCTACGCTGTCATATGCGTCGCCCGTGGCCCCGGGTGGACTAAGTTCGTATGGTTGGAAGAGTGTCGGTGTGTCAGTTTTATATGCGTCGTAAGGACGTGAAAACTTACTACTATGGAATTCGATCACTTTAGCAGCCTCTTGGGTATATTGCGCTCCGGCGTTGGCTGGTTCTTCCCGAGATTTCTGGTTTGGATTTGTAAATTTGATCCTTGAAATTTCACCGTTTTGTGTATACTTGTTTTATATCCCCTTCTAGTTTTTAGATATTTGATGCTGTATGTACGTTGTCTAGAGAAGTGGGCTTTCATTAAACATTTCCTCGACTTCGCCGTAATTCCCTTAAAGAAAATCGGAGGAGTTTGTTTGGCAATCCCAACTCTCCCAGGTATCTTCCGGGTTTGCTATGCCCTGAGCATCTCTTGTTTTAAGTTCAAGGCCATGGAAGTCCTAGTGCAACTTATGTTTTCCGCAAGGGAATTGCCGCAATTCTCTTAAACCGCCCGACTACAAAAAAAGCATGGGTTCCAAAACTTAGACAAATTCGTCGTACGTATAGTTGAGGAATAATAATGTGTGGGGTTGGAGGCACCAAATTTCTCAGAAATATCTTGAGAAATTCAGTCTCTTTCATCCCAGCGGCAAATAGAGAAGTCTCTGATGGCTTGCTCCGCTAAGTCCAGAGACTTAAAAGTGTCAACGATTGTGCGGACGACAGGTTTCCCTGCAGCTCTCAATGGGAAATTCAGTAACATGATTCGAGACAGTGATATCATGTCCAAGAGGCTGTAGTCCACCGACTTTTGTTGTGTTGCATGCTTTGAGAGTTAGATATGATTTCTTTGTATCCAGATTCAAACACTAGGCCGAGATGAACTGTAGGTAGAATGAGTTAGGATTGGGAGGGTCTCTTCTTCATTCAATTGCTTCGCGCTCAGTTTCGTGATTGTAGATTATGAAAAGCCAAGAGAAGAGAACATCGCCCTGAAGGGCTTTACTGATATCACATTTATATGATTGTAGATGAAGGCAGAAGCTTCACGCCGGAGCGGAAGCATAGATCTCCCAGCTATCACAATTATTACGATGGCGAATACATATGAAATTAAAATTATCAAGATGTTAATTTTTCCTGTTGGCGTGGATTGGGTATTTAAATCCCCGGCTCTGCTGATTTAATAATAAGTTATGTGAGACTGATTTGAAGCATGGGGTGTAGTTACTCCATAGTTATAACTGTAGTTATTGAGTGAAGCCGATAGATGACAGACTTTGGATTAGAACTCCCTCTGGGAACCATGAAAGGGACTGATCTGCAGCAGATGCCCAGACTTTTCCCGGAGGTATTTGATCGTTAATTGGATATTGTCTGTAAGGAGAAATCAGTTGATATATCTCAATGGTGACCACCATGTCATGGATACGATTGCGCGCAACAAGCAGTATGGTGGCTGTAAAAATTCTAGCGACATGGATGCCAGTAATTCCCGAGGATTAGTTACTTAACTAGTTAACTATTTAGCAAGATTGGAGAATCTAGAGATTGTCAGAGGGCATAATGGGAGGGTAAAATGACCTTGGTGTGTTTCTCCTCTTTTTTAATTTATTGTACAGTCTTCACTTCTTGTCAGTATTTATTTAACTAAAACACAACACGGCGACTTCTGCAGGCGCTTTTGGCTGCTTCAGCGTGACAAAGACCGCGACAGTCCATGGAACAGTTAAATAGCTGCATAAATTTCATGATAGCTAAAAAGCCTACTCAGCTTGTGTCTACTCTGGTCTCATTCCAAGAGCCTGAGAGAGTTGTTTGCCGAAAAGATCCGGTTAAAGCTGAAATCCTGTTGCACCACCACATGTCAGTCCAAATAATTCAACAAACGATGCTGCCTCCGGGAGCAAGCAACCTAAATAGCATTAAATAGCAACTAGTTATTGACCAACCTTTGCAGACGATCGCAGTGTGCACCTTCATCGCCAGCCAGGCCAGGTCCTCTTTAACTTGACCAGTTCCCGGAGATAGAGGAAAAAGAGAACGGAAACTGAAGAAGAAAGAAAAAAAAATCAACGGACTGTCTGCCTCTGGTACTATTATTTTACAGCAACTATCTCTTCTTGTTGAGCGTTAAAAAGAAATTCGATAGACATTTTAAAGTATGATGTTTATATTTAGCCTCAATCCTCCTCCAAACGTCAAATACTTTTCCTCTCCCCAACTCTCAACCAACTCCACCTCAAACTTTAAACTACTTTCAACTCATAACACACCACAACAATCCCTCTTCGACTCCTGGTTTCTCCTGTTGCGGTTTCTATCTGCTTTTCCTTCTCAATCTCTGCATCCTTCTCTAATTCAACCCTCTGCCTGGCTGCCTAATGGCAAAGCTACACTGTGGACCTCTAGTTTCCACGAAGGATTTGCCGCAGTTATATGGAACTACAAACTTTGCTTGAGCACCGCCCCAGTATTCTCGACCAAGGCTTTCACGGCAGCAGCTATAATTGCTGAGCGCAGTCTGTTCGAGTTCATGTCTACGTCCTCCACCCCCGCCACAGCTGCCAGCCTTCCCTCCCTCGAGTCCCCGTCCTCGTCAGCTGCCCCAGGTTCACGCCCCAGTCGACTGCGCCGCTTAAGCAACCTCAGAGCATACACTCAACCCCATCTGTCTGGTAACGCCTCCAGCGGTTATCGTTCCTATAGAAATAGCCTTTCTCGGGCTGTTGGTCTCTCTTTGCATTCTACGGGACCCTCGAGTTTCGCTGTGGACGCCGTCCCAACGACCGGTCCCATTACAACTACTACTTCGACGCCAGCCTCGCCTGTCCAGTCAACACCAGACCATCATCAATGTCCTGAAACAAACAACCCAAGGCTCTCTACGGACCTGTCGATACAAAGCGTGAGCGGCTCATCCGTTTCAGACCTTCACTCACACGTCCAGTCATCCTCCGCCTCTTCACGATCTACTCCATCCAACGAACCTGAATCTGAATCACCACAGCCATCCGACATGGTGCGACAACGGAATATAGCTGTTGTAGAGGTATCGCCGGCTAACAAGGACTCATTACAGAGCCCACTGTCATCACCGCCAACGGTTCAGGATAACAGTAAGGCCAGACTTGCAAACTCCGCTGATACTACTACACAGAACAGCACACCAGGGCCCATGGATTCACCCGCTCGACCTGACACTGCTTCTCCCCCATCCTCTGATCCCACGTGCAAAACCCCTCTACCAAAGCCCATGATCCGCTTCTACGCTTATCAGGACCCTCACCACAACTCACGACCATCTTTGCCCTTCACGACTACCTCGAGGATCCTGCCGGACGAGTCTTCTGTAATTCGAGTGGGGCGCTATTCGGAGCGTGATGGGGTTCCCGTGCATAATCCAACAGATCCCTCTGATGCACCTGTTGGCTTTAAATCCAAGGTCGTAAGCAGGAGACACTGTGAGTTTTCCTTCGTTAATGGCCAATGGCATATTCGAGACGTGGGTAGCTCCTCGGGAACTTTTTTGAACCACATGCGCCTGAGTCAACCAAATGTGGCTTCGAGGCTGTATGCTGTGAGGGATGGTGATATCCTACAGCTGGGGATTGATTTTAGGGGAGGGGAGGAGATGATTTTCAGATGTGTACGGATGCGGATCGAGTGCAACCGGACGTGGCAGCAGAAGGCGAATGAATTCAAGTATGTTGCTGTTTATGATGCCTTTAATATTTTTGTGGCCGGGAATAGCCATACTAACAATAACTGACAGTAAAACTACGGCGTCTCTAATTAACAATCTTGGGAAAGGCAGCAACGCGGCAGATTACGCCGGCTGTAAGGAATGCTCAATATGTCTTGGCTCAGTTTTAGTCCGTTCTCCTCGGCCCCTTTCATGTTTGGATTACTTGGAGTAGTCGTTTGAAGCTAACATGACAATATAGCGACCATATCAATGTCTCTTTATGGCAGCATGTGCTCACGTCTGGCACTATAAGTGCATTCGCCGGCTAATTCACTCGCCGGAATACCCTATGTTCCAATGTCCAAACTGCCGCGCATATACCGATCTTAGCGCCGAAGTAGACGATTCCAACGAACCCTTTGAAGACGACCAGGTGGACCTTAAACCTTCCAACTCCCAAAATCAACCCGTACAAGATAATCCCGATAGTACCTCTAATACCGGCGCCCTCAATTCGACAGTACTGCAATCTACATCATCCTCTAACGACAATAACACGTCAGACAATGACCAGCTAACCACTGCAACCGGCAACATAAACCTTGATGAAAATAATCCGCTTAACGCGAACATTCCAACCACCAACTCGCGAGCTCAAGCAGAGAATATAGTTATGTCGAACCAAAACTCAATCTCGAACTCCAACACAGCACCAACGACAAATGGAGTAAGCGACGCCCATGGTACAGGCGATATGTTTTCGCGCAGCTCCAACATAGACATACCAACCTGGAACAACCCACAAAACCAATCGTCATCGTCATTACGAGGTGCTTCTGCTACAGCGGCGGCAACCGCCTCCCACGGAAATAATGGTGGAAGCGAGATATTTGAAGATAACCTATTGACACCGCGGAATGATTATGGTCCATTGGCCTTTGACGGTCATGCAGGTCGGTTATAGATATTTTTGATGGATTGTGATTTAACTCTTGTTTTGTTGATTACTAGATTAAGCATTCAAACATCTTGTGAATGCATTACTCATAGCCTCCTAACTGCTTGACAATCAGTTGATTGATCGTCATGTGAATCCTCGCTATCTCCACTGTCCGACATCTACCAACATATATTTTCTCGATTACGTGGCGCTCTACGCTCACTTCCTCTCTGTCTGTGTGTTTCACCAACTCAAGCACTGTCATCTGGAATATGGTATGATTCTCTCACTGTCTTTTGCATCATTCATGGCACATTTCTTTTACTTCTCTTCTATCATTTTACGTCTGCATCAGGTAATTGTTGGGAATGTTCAGGGATGAGCTGGGGGTATTGATGAAATAATTTTTACTATATATGGTCCGATCGTTTTCTTCTTTTTTCTATGCTTTCCTCTGTTATTCTCTAAATTCCACCCTTACTCCCTCTCACCTCCCTCCAAACACCCCCCACCCTCCCAACCTTACATAATTTTTCATTCATTCTCATACATATATATTTTTCATTCGTTTTGGAGTCGGAATTGGAATTGGAGTCAAAATCATCAAAGGTCTTCTTATTCCTCCTATAATCATATATTCCCCTTTTAATTTCGCTTTTTATTTTAATTTCATTTGCCTTTAGTACTCTTCTCTAGTTGTTATTACTCTACTACTCATAGCCTTCAAGCGGACAGATCAAACAGACAGATGCATAGCACACCCAAAAAATCAAACATCAAACATCAAATATATGGTTAGCTCCCGGATGAAATTTGATATATATATATATATATATTATTGGGTGGGGATGGGGCGCCTTAAACTGTCGTGTCACCCTCTCTAGTGGATGATTTGCCTTTATTACAGATAGACATAAAGAATACATAGCGATGTCCACTTTTCACTCTTATAATCTTTGATACGCGTATATTGAGTGAGTATTTTTGGACGTAACTAGCCAAATTGTCGAGGATCCCTGATCTAATCCCTCACTTCAAAAACCTTACCTTGCATTAATAATAGTAGTTGAACCATTATTGACGATGTTCTGCTGCGTTCCCCTCATCCTCACCCCCGCCCCATTGTGCCAATCGTATTAATCCAAAACGCCAGCCCAAATAGAACCAAAAGCCGAGTGAGACTTAAAGGTAGTTATTGGCCGTTACATGACAGATGTCACGCTCATGCTGCCCAACCTTCTTTATTTTAATAGAATAGTATGATTCTTACATGAATTTAGCTATAATTTTATACATTGATTGTTCCCAATTTTGACCGTATTTTCGTGCGTTCGGCCAATAAATATCAAGTACCTATTAATATCTTATAAGCTTTAAGGGGGTCCACTCTGATTTCAACGACTACAAGGAAAAAATGAAGTAAAATAAAATAAATAAAAGAACGCATACACCACAATTTTACTCCCTGCCCTTCGGTTGTCTCTATACTGGAGGTCACAATCCCTACCCAGCCATGCGTTTCACTGAACCACCACTGGAGAGCCCCGCCACAAACGGTGTTGGTGGAACAATTAACCCAAGTCTGCGGCGGAACATCCGGAGACCAACCTATCCGTTTCGAAAATCGCACCGATCGAAACCTCGAAGGTACGTTAACTAGTTAAGCAGATGTACCCTCCCTTGCAATTCCCATTCCGCATGCTACCTCATCGCTTATACGTAGTCTTTCCATTGATTGGAAGAATGCATGTATAAGACGACCTACGAAGTCAAAATCATTGACGCTGGCAACTGGCTATAGATGGCCCCTCGTCCTTCGCTTTATAAAAGGCGCAGTGCATATGTCAATCCTCATTCCCGTAGTATTGCACGGAATTTTTACGGCCCTAATAGTCTATCTGGATAAATACGTCTTCGACAGCATTGGTCTTCCCGCGACAATAGTGAGCAAATCCAACCCGTTACTCCTCCCCGCAACGCAAAATAAACATATTAAAGTAAACCCGCACAAAGATCCCATCCCTCTCCATCGTCGTCGGTCTCATCCTCGTCTTCCGCAATCAAACCTCCTACAACCGCTTCTGGGATGGCCGGAACAACCTAGCCGCCATCAACACCTCCATCCGCAACCTAACCCGCTCAATCCTCACGCACGCTTACAATAGAAACAGCGGCCCGCTCACCCTCGCCGAGAAAAACGATGTCGAGCGGACGATCCGCGTCCTCATGGCTATTCCATATGCGGTAAAGAATTATCTAAGGGCCGAATGGGGTGCAGCATGGAATTTGAATTCTACAGTTGTAAACAGGAAATATGGTGGGGATGGAGGGGGAAGTGCCAGTGCTTGTCATGCGGTGGAAAGCAACATGCGAATGTTACATTTGGAGAATAGCGGTGTCAATGGTCACGACGCTGAGAGTGGTGGTTCTAGCAATGGAGAGCACGTCTTCAATCCGGAATACGACAGCCTGTTACCCGTGGGCTTGCAGGCATATGAAGACGAGGGACTCGGTTTACCGCTCCAACTAACGTTCTTCGTCGACGGATTTCTAAAACGCGGCGAAGATCGGGGTTGGTTCACAGCACCCAATGCCAGCAATCTACAGACCCAACTCAACATCCTAACGGATTCCTACGGACGCATGGAGACGATAAAGCTAACCCCAATTCCCATCGCGCATCTGATTCATCAAAAGCAGGTCCTCGCACTCTTTGGCGCTGTGTTGCCATTTGCAATGGTAGATGAGATGGGCTGGTGGACTGTACCCATCGTCTCGCTCGTTATCTTTACGCTATATGGTATTGAGGGGATTGGGTCGCAGCTGGAGGATCCGTTTGGGTATGACCGGAATGACATTAAGATGGATGCTATTGTGGAGGACGAGAGGGTGGAGATTGAGGCGATTTTAAATGAGTGGAAGAGGGTTACGGTTGTGAGGGGGGAGGATGGGCTTGTGGGTGTGGGTGCGGGTGCGGGTGGTGCAGGTGCCGGTTGTGGTGATAAAGGCGAGGTATATGAGCCTAAGGAAATGTTTATACGGATGAGGGGAACAGTAAGGAATGGGGTGTGATGTGAGGATGTTGGTCATGATGGGATTCATATGGGATTTGGTTTGTACCAAATGATCTGAGCGTTTACACTGCATCTATATACCCATTTCATTTATCTCTTTTCTGTCTTATTTCTTTTATTTCCGTTATTTTCATTTGGTCAGAGACCTAGGCGTCTTGCGGGGGTGGTTAATATTACACATTTTAATATCTTATTCCTTGTTTTTGGTTTGGATGAACGCAACTAAATAGCTGCTTTTAGGACACCATCAATTGTAAATAACTTAAGGAGAGACCCAACTTGTGAGTCAGCTCACTTGAGAGAGAAAAGGTATTTAACACAAATTAAGTCTCCCGAGCAAAAGAAGAGCAAAAGTCAAAGGATAAGAGTAAGGATCAAATAACTGCCATCCCATCCTGAAATAGCTCCGTTTCCTGTCCCCATTAACTATCCCAAGCAGGAGGGCTATGCTTAAAGCAACTTTCACCCGCATATTCAAACTCTTTTCTGTTCAAAGCAGTTGAACCGGCACCGCCAAGATTGCCATCGGATCCCGACCAGACCCAGATTCAATATCAGACATATCCATCTTCACATCCATCATCATGCGAGAGCGAGTGGATCCCAAGTTAGAAAATGGACTTCCAGCAGAAGGACGGATCAACGCGTTATGCCATCCCATAGCCCAGTTGGATTGCTCCTGACGACCTTTCTCCTCGCCCTTATGATGAACCATCTTGGATGCCTTACGGGCCGTTTCTAAAGTATTCACGGCAGGTCGATCAGGGGGCGTAACGGGTAGTGTACATGGGCGTCGTAACGGCGTGTGCCTAGGAGTCTCATCATCATCATTGAAGTCAGTATTACCATTGCTCTCATTCCCACGTCTCGCTGTTATTTCTTCAATCGTGTCCCTCCACTTTTCCAAGTTCCGTCTCGCCGCGTCTTTCATCGTCTCCCGATCCTTCTTGTCCCTCACCCTAAAACTCTCCCACCCCTTCTCTTTATCCATTACAATCTTCTTAACCAACACCGCCTCACCCCCCAAACACTCCCTTTGCCCACCTACTACATCCCCCCTCGCCGGTTTCACTGCCAGCTTTATCTCGCCGTCGCTCACCCACCCCTCATCCTTAAGCTCTATTCCAGAGAGTCCCAGGACTTGCTTCGCCTGATTCTGCATCCGCACCCTTTTCAACTCTGCACGATCCGCTACCCTCTGAAATCCTTCCAGATCTTCTTTAAGCGAGCTGAGAGCGTCAACAATCCAAGTTGGGGACCAACCATAGCGTCTGCCTTCGAATGTTGGGGGCCCGTTTTCACGCCAGAACTCGTGCAGTGCTTGGATGTTCCAATGGTGGCGGAGTTGCTCTTTTCCCAGCTGCACATGCCACAGATGACTGAGAAGTTTATGCTCGCGGTCTTTGTGGTAAAATTCCGGGGTAAGGGACCAGGGTAGGCTTGAGGGGCTGGGGGTTCTGACTATGTAAGGGAGCTGGGAAAAAGGGGTGATTAGCATATATATCTGTAATGCATACACAGGAATCTGTGAAATCGATAATATGAGATGACTTACATGAAATTTGGGGTATTTGAATGCATCATAGTCGTAGTCTACCTCTGTGTCAGGCATGTTGTCATTAGATGATTTGTTTGAATGTAAGGTGGTGGTGTAGAAGGTAGGGCTGTTAAGGACAGTATGCCCTCTCCCTCTCAGTATTATATTCTGTGTCATGGAGGATGCATTATGGATTGAGGATAGTGATGTGGTGGGTTGCTGAGGACGGACAAGGTGATCTTGGTTGCGAGGGCGATCAGTCAGTGTTTTTCACTCAGAGCGCGCCTACTATGGAAGCAGTGAGAAATTGCTGGACCTCTGTTCTGCTCTCTGACACACATGTCAATCACGATCTGAAAAGTGGAAACCTGACAATTGAGAGTCAGTCATGAGGGCCTTCACCATATGGTGTCAATCTGTTAGACAGTCTATCGCCCTAGGGAATCCATTTCTCAATTGGGTATTCTAGAATGGCATTCATTCTTCCTCGGGATAACTAATGTCTCAATTTATATTAAACGGTTGGTATCCTGGGATAGGAATGACATGTAGCGCATTGCAAGATAGGATAGACCCAAGTGTCTAGAGAAAATGTCCGATGTATTATCTCGGTGGTTGGGTGAGGTGTACTAAATAACTTTGAATGTTCCGGGACATATAAGGGGTATCTATACGAAATGAAAATAGCAAACCCGAAAAGTCCCCTTGTTATTTCCTCATGAAAGACAAAGCTGATTGCAACAGTTGGGAATAGAATTGGGAAGAGGTTACGAGAACTGCCAAAGAGTTGCTCCAAAAGAAAACAAAACCAGAATTGAAGCCCGATTATCAATGCAAGGGGCTCTTGCAGAGAATTTGTATTAAGCGCTGATACCACGCTGGCGGCACTGCCCGAAAAGGGACGTTAGCTATCGCGGAAAATCATACATAAATTAAAACCCTTCAGGATTTTCGGGCTAATGGTGCCCAAAAGATTAGTACATTTTCCGCATCCCTGAAGAAGAACCTAACTAATTACAAGGGAAATTCAGGCTTAAAAGGAGAGAGTTTTTGGTTAGTTGAAATATCTTGGGAGACATGAATGAATATCCACGTACCAGATATATCTGTTGTTAGATTTTCTGGGTTCACACTCTCCAGAAGATTCAGTTTGCACGTAGAGAAAGCCGAATCCGTATCTCGTCTCCCCCAGCCTTGTTTCCTGTTCGTTTTTAAAATTATATTCTGCCATGAATTCTAGCAAGCCGCTGTTCATAAAGGTGGTTCGATTTCCACCAGAACTGTTTCGATAATCGTCTCCGGAGTCATATCCGCCAGTACTAAACCAACTGCTTTGAGCGAACTGCCATACATCATACTTCGATCACCCGCTGGTTCGACGACGCGGATGCGGTGGCGATAGACCCTTCTGGCAGCAAGTGCCACCAAGGAAGGAAAAAGATAATCGACACGTTGCAAGGGAGCAAGACATCTACTCAAAATATAAGTGGCTGTTTCTAATTGACAGGTTAACAGGTTTCACTAACCGAGCAAGTAGATAAAAGTGCCGTGAGGAAATAGAAGTTATTCCAGATGCCACACCGCGATTCATCCTGAGGAAAACGATAATATTTTGAAGGTAGCAGTTTACATCCGCGGATACGGTAACGTTGTTACTGAGTTGACGCAATGTATTGATATGCTTGAGATATTTTAGTGAAATGCCAAAACTTTGGAGATGCATCAACAAGAATAGTAAAAGATACTATACCTCATCACAGATTACATAGGCCTGGTCGGGCTTCCCGAACAGTGGTATGCTGGACTTCCCCACAACAGAAGACATCGATCCTTGATCATCCGGGAACCATCCAGTGCTGTCCTCCAGATTGGCGAATCCGTTTTGGGGATCATGGTAATATGACATGAAGATATGATCACACTTTATACAGTTTAGCATCAACTCCCCAAAAATGTAAGTCAGAGTAATTGTCAACTCACCAAGTGGCGGTTGAAGGATGAAGAGAGTGGTTGAGGCTTGGATTCAACGAGTGGAATGAAAAGAAACGTGTTCGGGGCACTATGGAAAGCGGCCCGCGTATAGATTCGCTTGGTTCGAATGAGCTGGTTATTTATTCAGATCAGTTGCCTATTTCTTTTTCTACCTAACAAAGATTAAAAGATCACCTTACGTCAAGTGCTTGTATTTGGATCTCATCAGATACCCGATCGAAATTTTTGGCAATAACAATATTGACTATCTTGCGATCATCGACAGTGCCTGTTGGCACTTGTGAGCTAGACTTGTCTGCAGACAGTTGTCCACTTCGAATGGTTGATCGTTCGGCATTCTATCATAACGTTAAACCGGCATCGATCATTGGAGTTGAAAGAAACCTCATTCTAAGTCAAATAATAGGCACGAGGTTCCCCTAAAGCAAAAGAAGAAAATAGGTCGGTCTTACTCTTCCGGTTTCACAGCTTGTAAATGAGGACAGTATATCAAAATCCGGTCTCTCGACATCGGGAGTTAGGATTGCGTTACTGAACTCCTCTAGGGTTGTTTCAGGGGAACAATTCAACGTAGCGTGCGAAAGCCCGAAGATATCCCGGGCAATCTAGCAGATGTAAACTCAGTCTATGCAATTATATATTTCCGGTGGGTAGTTGCCTACCAATATAAGCTCGTTTTCCAGGTCATCCAGGGCCTCCCCCTCCGTATCAATGATGCAATGCTCGCGGGCAACAAGGCTAAGAAGCACCACCACTTCAAGATCGGACAGGTCTTCTATTCTGTTATACAGACCAGAATACTCCATCATACACAAACATGCATTTCTCATCCAGCGAACTTAAAGCAGACAACCATGGCTGCCAGCATCAGAGGGAGCGGTTGATGTTTAGTACATTGATCCAATGTCTGTGGTTTGACTCGTCCAAGCCGAACAGTTCTTCCAGGCATGATGTAATTACGGAAGCCTATCATATTTCACTATAAATAATTTATATTCCATTACCGTATTTTTGTGCTGTGAATTACGTAATCATCTGACCTCGATATCACTCGTCTCTTTGCACGCAAAGCTACGTTATTTATGTTCGGTGTTCATATCTAGAAAAGGATATTATGCGATGACGATACAGTTTTTTATTTGATGCCAATGTTGGAAAATTCCCATGGCACCAACAAACCCTCTGGCTGACTGGGAGAAGGTCGGAGACCGATTCTATAGGAAGATCCGAGTATACGATGCCGTCTTCGACGAGGACCTTGAGCTAGAAAACTTCATTGTTGCGGGGGCTCCGTACGGAGGATCGATAGGTGATTATTTCTGAATATCTAAATAGTAGTGCGTGTGTTCCGTTTTCTGATAGCAGTGGCAGCACTCTATCGCGACGAAAACAAGCTCCAGAGATACAGAGATGCAGAGACGGGGAAATCATATATTGATATATACTCCTGCTCTGGCCAACGAATCAGCCGGATAAATGTTTGTTATACACGTAGCTGGTCCAGTTTGAACTGTTTACACTAATAATTTTTCTAGGGGGAACACGCTGCAATTCGTGGCCTGGGTTGGTCTGATGATGAGAAGCTCCTCGTAGTGACCCAAGACGGCACGGTGCGGTGCTATTATGGTCTTCATGGAGACTTCACACCCTTTTCTCTAGGAACCGTATAGCCCTATATCAAACCAGTCTAATCTGTGCCTTGTACTGATTGATGACGTAGACCGCAGAGGAGAATGGAGTAAAGGCCTGTCGCTTCTGGTCGGATGGTTTTGTTGCTCTTTTATATAACAACCAGCTTATTGCAGTCTCTCGCTACGATGAACCACGTCCCAAATTGCTGGCATCCCCACCTGCAGGAGAGGTATCGTCATGGTCGCTGATTCCTCCAAATTACACCCTCTCGCGATCAGTCGAAGTCCTTCTGGCAATCGACGAAACTATCTATGTTGTGGATGCAACAGAGGCGGAGGATCGAATGTTACAGAACGGTCCATTCAAGCACGTTAGCGTATCCCCAAATGGGAGATTTGTCGCCTTGTACACCGGCGATGGAAAGATGTGGGTTGTAAGCAGCGATTTCCAAAACAAACTTAGCGAATATAATTCCGGAGCCCGAACACCACCAAACAACGTGGTATGGTGTGGCAATGACTCTGTTGTTCTCTCATGGGAGGACGAGGTTCATATGGTTGGCCCCAACGGAGTTGCTGTTAGGTTGGCATCCACTACGTTCATTTTCAGTCCAGTTTACCACTAACATCTGTTGAGGTATTTTTATGATGGCCGCGTCCATATAATTCCAGATTTTGATGGGGTCAGATTACTTACCAATGACGCTTGTGAATTTCTACACAAGGTCCCAGGTATGGTATCTACTATCCAACTAATTTGGAATGGAGAACCTTAACTAAGTTATATACAGACGTTACGGAGGAGGTATTCAAGTTGGGATCGACGTCTCCTGCTTCTATTCTCCTGGATTCAGTCGGGCTCCTCGAAAAGAAATCACCGAAAGCAGATGAAAATATTCAGCACATCCGGTCAAACCTGCTCGAAGCCGTCGATACCTGTGTCAAAGCAGCAGGACACGAATTTAATACCTCCTGGCAAAAGCAGTTGCTTAAAGCCGCATCATTTGGCAAATCGGTTATTGACCTCTACAACAGTGATGACTTTGTGGACATGTGCGAGCGACTGCGGGTGTTAAATGCTGTACGCGACTATCGGATCGGCATACCCATTTCATATGAACAATACCTCCGCCTAACCCCGGAGAAACTGATTGAACGACTGATCAACCGTCACGAATATCTTCTTGCAATCCGGGTTTCTGAATATCTTCATCTTCCAACGGATAAAATATATGTCCATTGGGCAAGTGAAAAGGTCAAAACTTCCACTGAAGATGATGACACCATTTGCGACTTGGTTGTACAAAAACTTCAAGGGAAGCGAGGAATATCATTTGAATCGATCGCTCAGTCAGCTTATGATGAGGGTCGTGGCCATTTAGCCACCCAGTTACTTAATTTTGAGCCACGCGCTGGAAGACAAGTGCCCCTTCTGTTAAATATGGAGGAAGATACTCTAGCGCTGGACAAAGCTATAGAAAGTGGCGATACGGATCTGATATATTTTGTTCTATTACAACTTAAACGAAAACTTCCCCTGGCAGCATTTTTCCGAGCCATCAATACTCGGCCCGTTGCATCCGCTTTAGTGGAGGCATCCGCTCGATCACAGGATGTGGAGCTGCTCAAGGATTTATATTACCAGGATGATCGCCCTGTTGATGGATCTAACCTCCTTTTGAGAGAAGCTCTGGCCCAACCGGACCCGCGGGCTATGGAAGACAAATTACGACTAGCATCCAGGTTGTTGGCGGATTCGAAAGACGCAAATGTGCAATCACATCAAAAGTCACTGACAGAAGCTGCGCAGCTCTTGAAAATCCAAGATGGATTGGACAAAGATATTGCTGATGGTGGTAGTGAATTTGTTGGCCTAAGTATAAACGAAACCATATACAAATTGATAAAGTCTGGGTATGGGAAACGTGCCAATAAAATCCAAAGTGAATTCAAGGTACCTGAGAAGTCATTCTGGTGGGTGAGACTGAGAGCTTTGGTAGCAAAGCGAGACTGGGGAGAGCTGGAGGAACTTGCAAAACTCAAGAAATCACCGATTGGTTGGGAGGTAAGTCTTCGCTTTTTTGCCTTTTATTTTTATAAGTCATTCATAATTCATTAATCAATATATATTGGAGCCGATGCTAACGCCAAATCCCTCCTAGCCTTGTTACAATGAAATTCTGGGCGCGGGAAACACCAAGCTTGCCTCAGTATTTATCCCAAAATGCACCAACCTGCCTGTCGCTGAGAGAATCGAGATGTGGGTAGGGTGCGGGATGGTTGTCAGAGCAGGGGAAGAGGCTCTTAAGGCCAAAGATATCAGCAGCCTCGAACTTCTTAGGGCAAAGGCATCGGGCCTTGCGGTGAGTGAAATCGACCGAATGATCAACCAGTTAAGGCCAAAGAAATAAAGAGCCCATCTACCAAGAGTGCTGAGTACTTTTCTTGCTTTTTTTCTCTTTGGCTTTCATTCTTTCGAAATGTCAGATACCACAGTATATAGGCCTCTTAGGTAATTTCTCCATCTTCCTCAAATTCATATTTTTGGTCCATTGCTGGCTTCTGAGGCAGCCCCAAGGAGTTGGTAGCTTTGGTTGCTAGCGGCGCAGCTGTCCTTTTGGATTCATCTTCCACCATGAGGTCGGCAACGTCTCCGTCATCTAACGATGCTACTTTACTTTGGTCCGCAGCAAGCGCCCTTTCATTCATCACTTCCCATGTCGCCTGCTTCGGAATTAGTATTTCCACTCGTAAAAAATTGCTAGCAAAGGAGAGCACCGAAAACATAAACCCCTTACCCTGCGCGCTTTTATAATTTTCGCCTTCCCCATTCTCTTTGCCACTTTCTTTTCAGTTCTATCGATCACAAGCTCCGCACGTTCGAGGCCTTTCTCCTGCCGCCTCCGCTGGGCGCGGGTCAGCTGTTTAGATTTCGACTTTTTCGTAATACCGGCATTATGCTTTGCAGCCAGAACATGAGGTTTGACTGTTGCAGTTGGGTCAGGCCGGGGAAGAGAAGTCAACAATGATTTATCGGTCGGAGAAGCGGCTCGCTTCGCAGCTCTGGAGTGAATTGATTTGACTGAAAGTAAATTTTCAAAAGTTAGACAACATTGGAATAGCCTAAAATGCCGTGGTATAATACGTACAGGCTTTAGCCTTCATTTTCGGGGTTTTCGCCATGATGGGGTACCTGTCTAGATTTGCTTGTCTTATTCAAACCACATTATTAGAAGTTGAACTTGGTTAATTGAGACGGGAGTTGTCTAGTCCCAAATGGGCTTAGCGCCATCGCAGTTCGGGGCGGAATATCTTTCCCTGTGGTCAAAGCTCTTTCTCTCCCGCCTTCAACTTCAACATCAACCTCAGGATGACCATGACCATCAACATCCTCACTACGGAGTACATACCAACGAAGCTTTTTTTGATATCGCGGTTTTACACCTCCACTACAATAGTATATTGCACATTGGACGGGCCTGAACATGCAGATTGCCAGTAGCTTCCCTGCTCTGCCGCCTTGACAAACCCTGATGCTCTGCCCAGCATCCAAGTCCAGCATTCTGTTGCTTCGCATTATCTCGCTCGAAATATGCTCGGGCTCCCAGAGTCCTCCCCCCACCATCACCTTTTTGCCACATCTCCCCTGAAGAATAGCTATCGCAATGACCTCTTCAGTGAATGGATACCTGACCGCTCGAAGATAACGTATTTTGCTATATCCGTGCTTTTGGGCTATTATATTTTCATGTACCTCGACCTCCTCACTTCCGTCTTTTTACAAACCGTCTGGAACATCATTGTCTTCTTTATTCCTTCGCGCTTCGTTTTTGCTCTAGATAAAGGTTCTCGTGATCGAGATCCCGCTAAGTTGGACGCCTACTCCTCTCTAACACGCAGAGCTCGCCACTCCGCGAAGAGTGGCGCCATGCAGAGGATTCTCGGCTTGGATACGAACTCGATACTCACAACTTTTCCGCGGGGCAGGAGTCTCACAGGGATAGGACAGGCCCTTTTGGGAATAAAAGATTCCTGTCCCCCGGGACTTGGCAACTGGGATAACTCCTGCTATCAAAATAGCATCATCCAAGGATTCGCTTCGCTACGAACGCTGGATAGGTTTTTGGAGGGAAATATCCGCGAGTTTGAGGATCGCGATCCGTTTTATACACACGCCGCGCTAAGGGATATCATCACCAAGCTAAACAGTCCAGCTTACGGTGGTCGAAAGTTATGGACTCCTCCAGAACTGAAGTCTATGAGCAGTTGGCAGCAACAAGATGCGCAGGAATACTTTTCGAAAGTGGTTGACCAAGTCGATAAGGAATTACGCCGCGCTTCCAGGGGTTTAACAAGTGATGCTGGCTTAAGATTTGTTGATACTCAACGGAATGGTCATAAAGTTGGTCCCTTTCCAGCCTACGAAGGACGGCACTTGAAAGACCAACTCAAAAAACCTCCTGCGTACGGGGAGTATACTTCTTCCTTCCGCAATCCACTCGAGGGCCTTCTTGCTCAACGGGTTGGCTGTATGCAATGTGGGTGGACTGAGGGACTTTCTCTTATCCCATTTAACTGTCTTACGGTGCCCCTAGGCACGAATTGGGAATATGATATCCGCGAATGCTTGGATGAGTATACAGCCTTAGAACCTATTGAGGGCGTCGAATGCGCTAAATGCACACTTCTACGAACCCAAGGTCAGCTAGAGCAACTGTTGAAACAGATAGATTCGGATGCGGAACTTGAAGAGGGAACCACTACACCTCGATTGACTGAAGCCCTGCGAAGTTCGGCAGAGTCAAGGCTAAAAGTTGTCCAACAAGCTCTCGAGGACGAGGACTTCTCTGAAAAGACTTTATCTGAGAAGTGCCATATCCCAGCGCGCAATCGTGTTTCCTCCACCAAATCGAGGCAAGCTGTCATTGCACGAGCACCCAAGTCTCTGGTAATCCATGTCAACCGGAGTGTATTTAACGAAATGACCGGCATGCTTCGGAAAAATTCTGCGGATGTAAGATTTCCCAGAGTTTTAGATTTGGGTGAATGGTGTTTGGGATCAAGATCGGTGGGCGAAACAGACGACGATATTTCAGAGCACTGGGGTATAGATCCTTCAGAGTCCATGCTTTCTCGTCCTGGAACAAATTCGGAAATGCTTAGCAGACGCTATGAGCTGCGCGCTGTTATAACGCATTACGGTCGACATGAAAATGGGCATTATATCTGTTATCGAAAATACTCCATGGAACTATTTCCCACTTCTGTCCCCAAGGCGGTTTTAGATGCGGATGGAGAGAAGGACAGGGCGGAACGTTGGTTCAGACTTAGTGATGAAAATGTCAGCTTAGTCAGTGAGAACAATGTGCTCTCTCAGGGAGGCGTATTCATGCTCTTTTACGAATGCATAGACGAGTCCCCTGGTACGGCGACTGGAGAAGCCGATCAGAGCAAATCCGAGGAGGAAGGTATCCCTTTGGAGGAGCTTTCATGCAGTTCTCAAGAATGTGAATCAACTAGTGCCTTACTCTCTCGCCGTACTGATAAGAAGGAAGAAACCCTATCCGACTCTTCAGGGACATCGACTGGTTCTGCGGGCCATCCTTCTCCACCAGATTCCGAAGCGTCTGATACACCTTCATCCTCGCTCTCCAGTGAAGACAGCAATCTTTCCACGGCAAATAAAATCGAACTTGCCCCAGCGATGAAGACGTCAGTGACACCATTCGAGAACAGCGGGGAGACCCTCCCCTCCGTGGTCACAGCATTACGATGATTATGGCTAGCTATTCCTGTTTGTATTAGTTTATTGTCGACGTTCCATATATGTCATTGATAATCGAGGTGTGGGTGCGGTTTTGTGTCCAATATCCAGTTTCAAGGACAATTTGTATCATTGGGGTGGCGACTTGTCGCGGCCCCGCTAGAATTTTGGTCTGTGTTAAACATGGGACAGAATAGAGGTCTAACACATTCGTTATTTGCCCGGCACGGCATTCATTTTGGAGTTTAGGATTTAGGATTGTTCGGCGGAGTTATGGGATGATGATAAATCTACACTTGAGCACACGCCGTGTATATAGATCAGTTGGGCGCGTCGATTATTTTACGTGACTCGGACGCTTATGATGGTGGTTCCTTGGGAAGGGGGTGCGCTGCACTGCACAAAACAGTCTCTAGTATAAGTTTAATTCATATATTATTTTTATCTCCATTATATCGAAATATGTACCTGAGTATGTTTATCAGATCATCCCGAACGCCGTCGCTGGAACATCCAGAGCACCGTATAACCCATGAGTAAAATCTACCATAAAAACTCCAAACCCAAATCCAAACCCCATTCAAACCCCTAACCCAATCAAGACACCCCCGCTCGCATCATAACCTCCCTAAACTGTTCTAATGAGACACCGGCATGCAATGCGTCCCCGCCATTCGCTTCCCTAATCATATCTCTCAATAACTCCTCACTCACATCCTCTTTCAAATCACGTGCCACCTTCCTCAAATGCCCCACTGATATCGGCCCCGCTGTGCCACGCGTGAACAATTTATAGGCATGCTCGACTTCAGCAGACATAGCGTCTTTGGATCGCGAGTGCAGTTTCAACGCACAGAGGGATAGGAAGGGCTCATATGTGACAAGGCCGGTGGAGTTGGGGTCCACGGCGGCAATGATAGAGGATAACTCTGTTGCGTTCGTTGGGGGGAGGCCTAGTGCTCTAGAAGGAAATATACGGGTTAACTTGGTTATTTTTATTCACTTTCGGAGCTTTTTGCAACGATGCACGGGGATTGCGATCTTGGTGAAATGCGAGTGGTTCAGAGAGGAATGCAATCAACATACATGAGTGCGCGATGGACATCTCTGGTTTTAATCACGCCTTCTCTCTCGGATGGGTATTCGTCACTATTGGAGGAGAAGAGGTGGAATGCTTCTTTGATTTCGGCTTCTTCATTTCCAGTTATGTCGTTCTCTTTGGCTAGTTTAGATTGGCGGGCTCGCTTCTCTCTGGGGCCTGCGGATGACGCCGCGATGCGGCGTTTTGGAGGCTGGGGTTTTCCTTGTCGTTAGATTGGGAGTTCACTCTTGGACATGCATGTACTTGGTTCATTACTCACCATATTTAGGGTTTGAAATTTAGTCCTGAGGGCGGGCTGCAGAGGTATGTTTCACTGTTGTCCGCATAGTGAGTGACTGGTGGGTTTTTTTGCCTTGGCGGAACGCGTTTAATGCGCTTAACTCTTTCCTTGACTAATCAAATCACAAACCCTTTAGTTAGTTTACTCAGCTTGCCCTTTTTGACATTTACGTACGATAGCAGCCCGGCAGATATAGACGATATAAATTCCGCTGTATAAACATTCATTTTCTCAGATTTGATTTTGTTGATTTAGTAAACTCTTCCTTCTAACTAGTCCGACAATAATTTTGGTTTGTACGGCTCTTCATAACGATAGTTAGTTAACTAGCTATTGCGCTTGCTGGAACGCCGTGGAATATTCCCCACTCTGTTGTCCTCCGCTCCCCAACTTCAACACCCCACCACCATATCCAAAAATATTATGGAAGTTGAATTATATGTTTATGATATCTCAAAGGTACATGATTTGTTAGGGTATTGTTTCCGTTAGAGCATCAGCTAACTAGATACATTTAGGGTCTTGCAAGAGAAGTAAAGCTTTGAGCTTGATATCCAATCTCCCATTTTATGCCAGCTCCCGCCACTGACGTCCCCTAGCTTTCACTTGCTATAACAGGCACCCAGATAGATGCAATATATCACACGTCTCTTGTGTTTGGGGGCATAGAGTACTTCTTTGGTAGAGGCATTCAACAAGCACCCCCTGGAACGACGCACCATGGCGACCCCATCGAGAGGATTAACATGGGAACCTCTGAACTTCCGATAGAGGTGGTAAATGAGTACATGGAATCTTTAGCAGTAGTATACACACAAGATGCATGTGCGCTCCACATTCCCACGTGTATAGAAAAGAAGCTAACATTAGAAACCCCGACAGTCTTATGATCTTTTCTTGCGAAACTGCAACAATTTCACCCATGATCTCGCCACATTTCTAGTTGGAAAAGGCATTCCTGATCATATCAGAAACCTTCCTGAGACTTTCCTCAGCACTCCCTTTGGTCAAATGATGAAGCCATGCATTGATGGTATGCTTCGGGGAGCAGCTCCTGGGCCAGAGATATCTTCTTCAGCTGCTACAAACCAATCCATCCCTGCTGACACAAGTGGCCTTGCACGATCAATACCGACACATTCAGATCATGCTCCCCTGGCGCAAAAAGGTTATGTTCGTAATGTGACGACCATTAGGGAGCTAGACGATCTCTTAGCCTCCGCAAGCTCATCATGCGCCGTTATATTTTTCACATCCGCCACATGTCCACCATGCAAGATGATGTACCCAGTCTATGACGAACTTGCAGAGGCAGCCGGCGATAAAGCAATCCTTATCAAAGTGGATCTATCCCGCGCCTATGATGTTTCTACGAAATACAGCGTCAGAGCGACGCCAACCTTTATGACGTTTCTGAAGGGAAAGAAAGAAAACGAGTGGAGTGGCGCGAACGATGGAAAGCTGCGCGGCAGTGTTCGACTACTTATCGAAATGGCCTGGCCACCTCACCCCCACAGGAGACTGCGATTACCGAGTTTAGAGAGGCCCATTGGCTCCTACATACTGTATAAGAAGGTTCCCCCACTGGATAAATTGATCCAAAAAATTGGCGCTACAGGGGATGACCCAGCCATTCAGGGGCTTGTCAAATTCATCAAATCGAGAGAGAGCAGTTGTCCAGTAGATGCAGCACTACCAAATTTCTCCTTGCAAAACCTCGTTAAATCAACATTTTCCTCTCTCCCGTCCGCTGTTCACTTTGCAATGATTGATCTAGCCCGCGTTGCATTTGCTGACTCCCGTGTCAGCGGGTTCTTCGCAGAGGAGCACGATCATACAACGCTACTAACATTACTGGGTGGCGCAAGCTATCTGTCAAACTGCCCTTACAAACAGCAGCTTGTAATGACACAGCTGGTCTGCAACCTCTTCTCATCACCTCTATATCTAGATCAAATAGTATCCAACGATGCCCTGCGCAAGACATGCATAAAACTTGCCACTTCGTCCCTATACGCCGCACACATTCCTCTGCGCGCAGCCGGCGCTTCGTTGATGTATAATCTTGCGGCATTCAACCATAATGAACGAATCGACGAGCGGCCGGATCGACTATCTGAAGCAGACCAGGTAGAGCTGGTAGCTTCTCTACTTGAAGCTATTAGACTGGAGACTGAGAGCGTAGAAAGCCTCCGTGGGCACCTATTATCACTAGGTCTGTTTGTATATCTTGCCCCTATGGATGGGGAAGTTGTGGATTTGTGTAGGGTGATGGAAGCTCGGGAGATTGTTGAGATGACGAAGATGAAGGCCCTAGTGGAGAAGCCGCTTCTAGAAGAAATAGGTTGTGAGCTTCTTGGGAAAGGGTGCGGGGAATCGTGAAAGGTTTCTGAAATGGGGTGTTTTACTACTGTTTGCTTTCTGTTTAAACAACGCAGTTTGAGCTGCGATGTTTATCCTTCTATTCCCGTTCATATGCCTTGCTTATAAGGTTCCTGACATTAAAGGTTTGTAGGGTACTTTCTGACTTGCATATTTTGAACGCGATGACTTTTCGCTCCATACCTACGTATGGCATTTTATTACCTTAACCTTGTGCATTTCTCTCAATGCCTATGCGCTTCTCAATCTACGTTGATTATTGACAAGACAAAAGACTTTTAAGCTACTATATTATCTCTCATTGACGTTTATTGACGTTTATTGATACATTCCATATAACGAAGACCCATACGCGCATGTCAAAACATCTTAACATACAAAGGATCCACTAGAAGTCAAACATAAAACATACCTTTCACAACATTTTAATCCACGTTCACTTCATGCCGACGGTCGACCTAGTCAACACGCCGACGGAAGACCCCGTCAACATCCCGACGGTCGACGTCAACATTCCGACGGTCGACCCCATCAACATTCCGACGGTCGACATCAACATTCCGACGGTCGACATCAACATTCCGACGGTTCCGACGGTCGACGTCAACATCATTCCGACGGTCGACATCAACATCCCGACGGTCGACCTTGTCAACACCCCGACGGAAGACCCCATCAACATTCCGACGGTCTACGTCAACATTCCGACGGTCGACCCCATCAACATTCCGACGGTCGACCCCATCAACATTCCGACGGTCGACATCAACATCCCGACGGTCTACGTCAACACCCCGACGGAAGACCCCATCAACATTCCGACGGTCAACATCAACATTCCGACGGTCGACATCAACATTCCGACGGTCGACGTCAACACCCCGACGGAAGACCCCATCAACATTCCGACGGTCGACCTCAACATCCCGACGTCGACCTTGCCATCAACATTCCGACGGTCGACGTCAACATTCCGACGGTCGACATCAACATTCCGACGGTCGACCCCATCAACATTCCGACGGTCGACATCAACATTCCGACGGTCGACATCAACATCCCGACGGTCGACCTTGTCAACACCCCGACGGAAGACCCCATCAACATTCCGACGGTCGACGTCAACATTCCGACGGTCGACATCAACATTCCGACGGTCGACCCCATCAACATTCCGACGGTCGACATCAACATCCCGACGGTCGACCTTGTCAACACCCCGACGGAAGACCCCATCAACATTCCGACGGTCGACGTCAACATTCCGACGGTCGACATCAACATTCCGACGGTCGACCCCATCAACATTCCGACGGTCGACATCAACATTCCGACGGTCGGCCTTGTAACACCTCGACGGAAGACCTCATCAATCTTGCGACGGTGGAGTCAACGTTCCTTGGGCCGAATCACCTCCTGAGGAACGACGCCATCAAATTCCGAGGGACGAAACAACATACAGTGGGACGAGTAATTAACTGCAGGAAGGAGACCCCTCAAAATTCCCAACCTACACAACAAACAACAGACAGACA